GAGCAAACAGAACACAGCTCAGGATGGCACTACTAGTCCAACCTCTGAGGCAGGGGTCCGAAGACCAGTCAGCAAGAGTACAAACAAAACCGGAGCAAACCAGGGCGACACTACTACTCCGACCACTGGAGGAGTAGCCACAAGGCCACTCTAAAAGATATATATAAGAGGAGTACAAAATCAAGGTCCTAGCAAGTGAGAGTCTACAGGAACTAGACCAAGCTGCAAATAGTGCCGCTGATCTTTAGGCGCAAGCGCCTTAGTAAAGATATTAGATGTGTTGGCACCGGAGGCCAAGTGTACTACGGGGGCCTGGCGACGCTACTGTAGCTCGCGCAGGAGGTAGTACCGCAGCTGGATGTGCTTCGCTCTGCTCTCTAGTCGAGGCTCCTGACAGAGGAGGATCATAGCACTGTTGTCAGCGTACAGAAGTGGGGCAGAGCTAGGCCGCTCACCTAAGTCAGTGAGCAATAAGGTCAGCCAGCGGAGCTCCTGTGCCGCCATGGCACCGGCGTAGAACTCAGCCTCACAGCTAGACTGGGCAACAGACGAGGAGCGAGTGGACCTCCACGAGATGGCACCAGAACCAAGGCTAAAGAAGTAGCCCTGGGAGGACCTGAGGGTCTCAGCGTCGTCTACCCAGGAAGCATCTGTGTGCCCAGTAAGGACCACCGGCCTGCGTCCTCCTAGCACTAGCCCCAAGCCCGATGTACTCGCTAGATAACGCAAAACCCTCTTAGCGGCCGACCCGATGCTGTGGTCGGTGTCTGCCTGTGGCCACAAAGCGAGCCAGGATGCAGAGAGGGTATGCGAGAACTGGACGAGTGCAAGTCATAAGGTACATGAGGCTACCTACCAGCTCTGCGTTGGGATCACTGTGCTCTACTGACTCCTCAGGAACTATAGCCGAGATCCTTTGGTCTACTGGCAGAGGTGTTGGTTGTGCGGAGAAGAATTGATGACCGAATCTCTGAAGGACCTGGTGCACCAAGTGTGATTGTGTGCGAGTGATGGTGCCCACTGCTTTGTCCCTGGAGATCTGCAGCCCAAGGTAGCAGGGCAGCTCTCTTAGGTCAGTTTAGGTGTGTCTCCTCAGCAGCTCGGCCTTCACAGAGGCCAGTGCGGCGGTGTCTGCAGGAGCGAAGACCAGGTCGTCTACATTGACAAGGATGTAGAACTGAGTCTGGCCAGTGCGAACGAAGAGCGAAGGGTCTGCAGATGACGGAAAGAACTACAGGTCAGCTAGCATAGCACGCAGCGTGTCGTGCCACTCACAGGGTGCCTATCGCGGGCCGTAGACCAGGCATCAGAGGAGCCACTAGTTCCAGGAGGGAAGGTACTGGTGAAGCCCTGCGGTCGGCACAGGTAGATGTGCTCTAAAAAAAGGCAGTGGAGAAGTCTAGGGAGTGGAGCTCGTAGTCACGCTGTGCTGCTACGTGTAGCAGTGCTCGAAGAGTAGTCATCTTCAGGGTCGGGGCGAAGGTCTGAAAGAAGTCCACCCCCTCTCGCTGACTGAAGCCTCTAGCCACGTAGCGCACCTTGAAGACAAGCGGCTCTCCAGGGGGGCGCTTCACCTTGAAGAGCCATCGGCCGTCGACTATGTTCACCCCCAAGTGGGGGAACTGCGTCGATGTAGGTGCCGGTGGATCTCCAAGATGACATCTCCTGCTCCATGGCAGCTATCCACTGAGAGGCCTAGGGTCCTTAGGTCGCCTCAGCGTAAGTGCGAGGGGTCAGGATATCAAAGGCGTCTAGGTCACCCTCAGGGACTAGTAGCATGGAGCAGAGATGGGGAGCAGCCTCGGACAGGAAAGCAAGCTCGTACTGCCTGTCCTCTAGGACGCCACTGCCAAGGGCAGAAGCACCCGCGACGGACGGAGGACGGACAGGGTCAGAGACCAGAGCGGTGGCGTAGTCAAGGCGGCGGGTAGAGGCAAAGTCAGCGACAGCAGCGACAAGAGCGTCAAGACGCGAGAGAGGAACAAACGGGTCGGTAACGAGGGAGGCAAGGACCTGAGGAATAAGAGGACGAGCATCACGAAGGTACAGTGACGGAAACAATTGTCCGTATGTTTTGCATTAATCTGGGTTTCTAGGCTTTAAGACCACTATACATTAAGCCTTAATGCTTAATGGTGGTACGATTTGGGAGGGGCAAATAGTGAATGTGTTCACAATACAAAAATCCAGAATTGTACATTGGATATAAGCCATATCCCATAAGGTAAACAAGGGCTACATTCGGACAAATAGTTCCAAACAGAGATAGCAAACTTCAAAACTACGTTTCTAGTACATAGCCTACCGACCTTTGGCCTTGATCACCACCCGCACCCTCCTAGGCATGTTAGCTACGATTTTAGTGCAAACCTCGGCAGGGAATTTCTTGCACTCTTCCTAGATCCACCATTTTGCATAAGGGGGTGAGCACTAGGAAAATCGCGAGAAAAAAAAAAAAAAAAAAAAAAAAAAAAGTCGGGCGTTGGCAAGAGTATTGTGGAAGATTTTTTATTCAATGGTATCTTTTATACTAGCCATGCTGAGGTATGGCCAAAGATGCAATTAGCAGTCGGCCCCATCTTATTATGGATCGTCTCCGTCGTACTCTTGTAGGGTAAAACTACTAATAGAGCGGCTAAAACTAGCGTAGACACTGCGAAACAGAGAGTAATATTGCACGGTTGATTGTGCACCCTTACACAATTAAAATCACACTAGGTTCCACGGGTCTAGTAACGGTGCAGCAATCGTAGAAGCCATGACTATTCTGCAAAAACATCAGGGGCCGGCTACAATTTGTGGAGTCGCATGCTGAGTGGACAATTAATGTTCAAAAGCATGTGATCTGGTCAAATGGGACCAACATCAACTACTTAGCACTAATGGCCATGCGTTTGCCTGGATTCGTAAAGGCACAACACTGCAGTACCACCAAATCAAACAGACGGTAAATCATGGGGACAAGGATCGGTGAAGGTGTAGGGATGTATAACATGTGCGCGGGTGGGGTTCATGTGCAAGCTTGACGGGCGCATGGACAGGCCCCTATACGAGAGCATTTTGCACGATGAGCTCAAATTGACCCTTGATTTCTACAGCATTTTCCCCTCTGAGGTCATTTCGGTGCGGACAATGACTCCAAAAATAGGAAGAATAGGAGAAGATCCATGCCGAGGTTTGCCCTAGCCTCATCGACAACACTCCTAGGAGGGTGCGGACGGTGATCAAGGCCAAAGGTCGGTGGGCTAGGTACCAGAAACGCAGTTCTGAAGTTTGCTCCCTCTGGTTGGAACTTTTTGTCCGGATGTACCCTTTGTACATCTTCTGGGATATGAGTTAGATCCAATGTACTATTCTGGATTTTGTATTGTAAACACATTCACTATGTGCCCCTCCCAAATTGTACCATCATTAAACATTAAGGCTTAATGTATAGTGGTGTTAAAGCCTAGAAACCCATATTAATGCAAAACATACGGACAATTGTTTCCGTCACTGTAGTCAGACAGAGGGGGAGGCGCGACAGCGAGCGACGACGGAGGAGTCGAAGGGAGGAGGCGAGGACGAGACGCGTGGGAACGAAGCAACATAGGGTGAGAACGCTGAACAGGGGAGACAGGACGAGCACGAGAGGTACGGCGAGACCAGACGTGTGACGGAGGCATCGGGTCAAGAGATAGAGGAAGAGTAGCAGGAGGGGAACGATGTTGGAAACGAGCCGGGGACGAGTCCGGTGGAGGAAACTTAGGACCGTGGACAGGAAGAGGAGGAGGTGGCGAGGAAGGCGCAGGGAAGCTGTCAGGGGAGGGAAAGCCGAGCAGGCAAAGGGCGGACATCGTCGGCGACTGCTGCTGCTGCGGACATCGTCGGCGACTGCTGCTGCTGCTACACCTGGACCGCCAGCAACACCCTGATTACCTCCGAAACACCCCACTCCAGCACCCCCAGAGCAAGAACTCTCTCCAGCACCGGTGCCGCCCCCGAGCCCGCCGGGACAAGCCACGACAGGAACACCAGGACTAGCACCCTCCTCAACGCCAGCACCCCCAGAGGCCACAAACGGCTGCTGCTGCTACGACGATGGCGGCGGCTACGGCGGCTGCAGCAGAGGCGGCGGCTGTTGCGGCGGCGGCGGCGTTTGCGACGGCGGAGGAGGAGACACCGGGGGAGAGACAGGCTGCAAGAACTGTGCCGTAGGGCCACCAGAGTCAGCCGACTCCTCGACCGGGACAACCGATGGGAGGGGAGTGACGTGAGACACACCAGACGGAGCAGGACGGGGAGGGAGGGGAGCAGGGGCTACCGGGGGAGTGGGAACCAGAAACAGGGGCGGGGAAACCAGGAGACCTCGGTGGGGAAAGCGGTGGTAAAAGGAGACAGACTCGTCGAAAGTGGCGTCTCGGGAGTGAAAGAAGCGGTGAGACGGCGGGTGGTAGAAGTGCCAGTCGGACGAGTCAAGGGGAAACCGAGGAGCCTCGGCAGAAACAGTGTCGAGGTCTGGTAAATACATTTTGACATCGGACATGCAACTTGCCACCCTGCCTGCGAAATCACGTGGGAACCAAAACTTTTCAGATGTGAACACCAGAAGTACAGTTGAAACATATGTGGCGTGATAAATTGGCCGTAAAAGCCGCCGCGCGCGCGGCTTTGTGATGACCATATTTATTATGCGCGCCCTGCGCATGGAAATATTGGGCCGATATGGAAATAATTCTGCTTGCAGTACCTCGCGGCGCGATAATACTCTCGAGCGAGGAGTGCGCGAAAAAAAAAAAAAAAAAAAAAAAAAAAAAAAAAAAAAAAAAAACGGGCTACAGTAACGGCGGAAGCGTGGCGCTGTGAAAAAATCCAGCCTAGCTCTATACTATGTGAAACTATCGAGGGAAAATGTTGACTAGAAAGTAGGAGGGGAGATACAAGTAGTGTGTTGTTCTCTGTAAGAGGTTATCTAGCTAGGCTAACTATAACAAGCATGACTATCCTGACTAGATATAGATATATAGTAGATATGTTTGTTGACACGATGCCCACAATTCCCGAAGTTGTTCGAAGCCCTGGCCTTCCACGTGCTTGCATCAAGCACATAATCCGAAACCCAGATTCGTTGCACACATACCCGGTGAGCAGCAAGGGATGCTGCTCGTGTGGGTGGCTTTGCCCCCATCAATACCCCAGGACGTCCTCAGGCAGCGCTAGCAGATCGGGCAGGGACCGAGCCACAAACTTACGGGCAAAGAGCCAGCAGGGGGCAGGGTGCCCGCTCACAGTGCAGGGTTGACCGGTGGAAGAGGGGAAGGGGGTGGTAGTGGCTGTTAATGTACTAGTATTATTTGAGATGAGTATACCCACTGCACCAATAGGAGTCGAGCTGTTGGGCATACTGATAGCACTGCTGCTGCTGTTGCTGACGGCGCTTAGCCCACTCAAAGCACCACCCTCTCTCCCTCCCCCTTCTGCTGCTCCACTGCTCCTATTACCGCCCACCCTGGCCATATACCGCTCCTCTTTAATCGCTCTGATCGACGCAGCAGTGATGTCCCCCCCCAGGTACGTGTGTGGGTGGCCGGTCTTCCCCTTCCACAGCACGCTCATGACAGTGCGGTTGGCAACTTGGTGGGGGAAGGCCCATGTGAGGAGGTTCTGCATGAGGTTCTCGTCCACGCAGCACGTGGGCTGGGAGAGGGCGAGGCAGTAGTGCAGACCCATCTCGTGCCACCTCCACTCGCTCACCACCGCCCACGCATGGCTGCGAGTGGGGGGGAAGAAAGTGGTAAGGAGGGAGAGGGAAGGGAAGGATGTAGAAAAGTGGCAGGGCATAGAGGGTACAGATCCAAGAAGTGGGAAAGACGAAGGAAAAGGATTGGAGAAGCAAGGGCGGATGAGGGCTCAGCAATGCACAGCTGCACAGAAGCATTATTCTGGTTTCAGTAATAACTTACGGGCGAGCCATCTCGAGCCAGCACTCCCCGTGCACCCATCCCGAGCGCACGAGGGCACGGGGGAATGCGCGCACGGCGGCGGGCACGCTGCGGAAGTACTTGCGGTGGCCGCCGGAGAAGCTGAGCGGCGAGGAGAGCAGGTAGCGGTAGACGGTGGGGAAGGCGTGCAGCGGGATGTCGCGCTCGCTCACCACCATGAACCGCACGTTGTGCGCGTCCAGCAGCGCGTGGGCTAGCAGGCGCTGGGGGGGTTCGGTTCCAGGGGGTGGGTGGGAGATGGTCAGGCAGAAAGGGGGAGCAGAGTGGGAAGGCGTGGGGGGGGGATGTCGCACTCGCCGATCGCCATGAAGCGTACGTTGTGGGGTCCAGGAGAGCGCTGGGGAGAAGGAAGGGGGTGGGCGGAAGGGCATGGAGAAGGAAGGGGAGGCGTGGACGAGTTGCAGTGGTGCCTGTCGGTCACCACCATGACGTGCACCTGTGGGGGGCCAGGAGGGCGTTGGGTAGCAGGTGCTGTGAGGGGGGTGGGGAAGATGGTGAAGGAGAGAAAGGAAGTGGGGTGAAAGGGTGCAGTGCAGGGGCATGTCGCAGGGACATATAGCAGGGGCATGTCGCAGGGGCATATAGCAGGGGCATGTCGCAGGGGCATATAGCAGGGGCATGTCGCAGGGGCATATAGCAGGGGCATGTCGCAGGGGCATGTCGCAGGGGCATGTCGCAGGGGCATGTTGCAGGGGGGGGGAGATCAACGGTAGAGAGTTGAAGTGGTAAGGGAGGATGAAGGGCAGGGGAGTCGGAGGGTGCAACGGTGGCTGGAGAGTCGGAAACGAGAAACGGTGGCTGTGGAGGAGACAACGGACTCCCTCCCTCTCTCCCTCCCCCTCTCTCCTCCCTCCCCCTTCTCTCCTCCCTCTCCTTCCTTTCTCCCTCCCTCCCGCGCACCTTGATGGCCTCGACGATACTGAGAGTGCCCCAGAACACGGGCTTGCTGGGCACCACCGTCAGGTTCAGCGATTGCCGCACGCCCCTCTTCACGCGGAACCCGGGCGCGGGGTGGATGTACGCGGAGTAGTACCGCGCGTACCCGCGGAAAAAGCGCTTCCAGAGGGGCGCCAGGGGGAGGGGGCCGCGGGAGAGGAAGAGAAAGGCGATCTTGGGTGTGGGGGAGGAGGGGGAGGCGGAGAAGGATGGGAGAGAGGAGGAGGGAGAGAAGGGAGAGGAGGAGGGGAAGGGGAGAGGTTCGGAGGGGGAGAGGGCGGTGAAGGTGTGGTTGAAGGGCGAGGGAGTGGTGGCGGCAGCAAGGAAGAGATGGCAGTCGTCCGTTCCTATGGTGCTGCCACGGTACAATAGATTGCCACGCAGTCGCCTGGGGAGAGGGAGAGGGAGAGGAAAATTGGAAGAGGGAGAAAGAGCGAGGGAGAGAGAGAGGCCGTTTGAGAAAGCGACTGTCGCACCGTCGCCCGTGACCGTGGTGCTGCCGCGGTAAAATAGACTGCCACGCAGTCGCCTGGAGTGGGTGAAAATGGAGGGGAGAAGGAGAGAAGGAAGAGGGGGCCGGGGGGGGGGGGGGGGGGGGGGGGGGGGTTGCTTTCCTCAGTTTCCGTCACTCCACGGGTCGGGTGTCCCCTCTCTCTCGCTCTCTCGATCTCTCGCTCTCTCGCTCTGTGGGTCAACCGTACTCCTCTCTCGCACTCACTCCGTGGGTCGGGTGTACCCCTCTATGTCCGCCGCTCTATCGGCGCACATCCACGGGTCGCTGGGGACGGGCAGCCCCGCCGCCTGCATGCGCTGCAGCACCACCCGCGCCTTGCGAGGCAGCGCGCTGTCAAAACCGTTGCTGCTGCTGCTGCTGCTGCTGCTGCTGGTGTTGCTGGTGCTGGTGCTCCTGCTGGTGCTGTCCACTTCCCGCCTTTCTTCCCCTGTTGCTGCCCCTGCGCCGCCTCCGTTCCCCCACTCCGCCTCTCCCCCCTCCGCTCGCTCCCCTGCAGTGGCCGCAGCAGCTGCGGAAGATCCCCGCAGAAAGTCCTTCCCCCCCCGCCCCGTTGCGCCGATGCTGCTCCGCGCACGGTTCTGCGCTTGGCTTTCCGCAAGTTCCGCTCGCTCTGTGTTTCCGGATTTCCCCGCCAATGCTTCCGCGTAACCACTCTTTGCGCCGGAGCTTTCCCCTTTTAGGGGGAGTTCCGCGTAATCTTCCGCTTCCCCCTCGCCCCCTTCAGCCGCCTCCCCCTGGTCCGCCAGTGCCGCTTCCGCCAGCACTTCTGCCGCGCCCTTCCGCGCCTCCTCCTCTGCCGCACTATGCTCTTCCGTCTCCTCTTCCGCAATTCCTACAGACTCTGCGCCATCCCCCCATGGGCTCCCGCCTGCTGCGCGCACTGGTTCCCGCGACGAGGCGGCGACGAAAAGGCTCTCAGAATATTCTCGCTCCAGCACGTTGACGTCGCCGTGCGACGCCTGACGACTGGACGCGCGAGTCGGCGAATCGTGCGCGATATCGCGGTCACCAGCTAGTCGAAGCAGTGCTGTCGCGCGTGTGTTTAGAGGAGGGGGGTGGTCGGGGAGGGGGAGGGGGAGGGGGGGTAGGAGCGGAGAGGGGAGATACACTGTTCACTGAACAGCTGAAGTAACTGCAGGCACGGACGCGTATTACTGCGAGTCTCTTTGGTTACTCCGCGTAAACGACTCATTGAACGCAGGGCTCACGAGTGGCTCGAAACTGGCACGCGACGGAAAAGCAGCGACCTTTCGAAAGGAGAAAAACCAGCAAGCGAAGGAAACTGGGAAAAGCACAGGGCGGAAGAATGATGACCAGAGGCCCTGTGCGTCAGGCCATGAACGCCAGTGTTCACGGCAGTACGTACCAGGAATGTCCAAACCCGTACTCCGCGCGTCATTGGGTGAAGGTCCCATCTGCAGCAGCAGCGGCATTAGCGGCAGCAGCAGCACCACCGCCATGACAATTGCCGATCCGCATCGCCGCAAAACCAGTCCCCGAGTACTCCCCCCCCCCCCGCCGACCTTTCCGTCTAGACCTTCCGCTGCTGCCGCTGCCACCGTTCCCGCCGCGGCTTCCGCCGCAGGTGCCGCGCTCCCGCTCGACCCGTCATCACCTACTGATGTTCTGTTCGCCAAGGGCCCCGCCAATGGCGCCGTTAATGACGCCGCTAATGGAGCCGCTAGTGCCGCCGTTAGCGGCGCCGTTAGCAGGGATTCTGTCCACTGGCCGGTTCCCCTGGGGACTCTCAGCCAATCGAGGGCGGTGGAGCCCCATGCCCCTTTGCTCGGCGGTAATAATAGCCTTCGCGGAGGCGTGCACTCGTCTGCGCCTGGGAGAGAGCGCGGGTCGCACCGCGCCAGCAGCGGCGTGTGCGGCTGCGTTAGCTGTTTCATGAATGACGGTGCAGGGAAGGCGAGGCACGCACGCAGACAGGCGCAGGCCGGCTGGTTACCGCGTTCGGGAAAGGATTACTGGAGGTTTGTGTTGTTGCCAGAAGTTCTTGATGCGCTAAGAAAGAGAGGTTCGCTGGTGAATGACGGCTATGCGTAGCGGCTTTCGTATTTTGACACGTGATAAGCTGGAAGACTGTCGTTTGGGAGAGGGCTAGTATAGCAGACGGACATAAGCAAGCCAGGAATTTAACGTAAGAAGGTCGATTCAAGGCCACGATTTCAGGAAATCTGGGATTTCGGGAGAAGAACGAGAGGACTTGTGTCCTGATTCGAATGGTGCGGCCGCTGCTGCTGTCACACTGATTGAGATTCGAGGGACGGCAAGATAGAGTGGAGGAGCCAGCTTGTGTTGTGTGAGTGCTGAGAGTTGGATGTGAAATTGTGGTGTGAGAGGTGGTGCTCCGTCGGATCTTGGAAAGCAAATGAAGCCGAACCACCGTCATGTCACAACGACGCGCGAAACGAGCAGTCTTTTTTCGTTTGGATGGTTAAGTCTCTTCGCAAATAATATCGCCCAGTCGCTAACATACTCATTTTGGTTCGCGAACTGCTTGAGGGGTGCCAACGTGGGTTTCTCATTTTGCTCACAAGCCGAGCCGCCTCCAAAGTTGGCCGTTTGATTTTCTTTCGAATTTGATGTCCCGCATCGCGTCGCGGGTGGCGTGAATACGGATGACGTATCCGTATTGTGTGCTTCGCTACAGCACGCAAAGCTACCTTAATGCTCACATGAATGGGCCATAGAGACATTATTTACAGATTCTTCTTTGCTGAACCCATGCACAGCCATTAGTTATGCTTGTGTCGAGAACCATTGTGTGCAAAATATGGCCAGGCCCCGACGTTCTGTACATTGTTTACACTAGATTGTTCTAGTCACTATTCGTGGAGAACGATGCACCGCTTTTCCATTTGAGTCTTACGGTTTTTGCACGCGGCTTGAGCCTGTAAGCGGGAAACGGTCAAACCCGGGTAAACAAAACATTGAAGGGGAAAACCTACAGTAAACACTGTCACATGGTTACAAGATCTCGCTCCAGCACTAGATAACTTTCCAGTACGACCTCCCACGTCGGATTCTCGCAATTTTCGAAATAGGAACTGATTATTCGCTATCGTTCAGACTGCAGCCAATCAGGTTCAGTGTCAACGCGAGTCATGCAGAGAGCCTAGTAGGTGGGATTAAAATAAAAACAGTTCTGGGTGAGAAGAAAAATAAACAGGTGTACCTGATGCTGATCGCTAGGTTTCTCAAAACGCCCCATCAGAGGCCCCGCCGAGACCAAACCGCGTGCGGCACATGTACCGTCCCCAACGCAAACACTCCACTGTTCAATTTCCATTCAATTCAACCCACATCAAGCAATCTCCGACACACGATGTTACTGCATTGCACACACATGGCTGCTGCTGCTTACCATCATTCGCGAAATGTGATCGACAAACTTGGACAGCTAACGCTATCCCCTTCATTCCGCGCGTCCAGCGTGTCAGTATCAGCGTGCGCTGCCTGAAGGCGCATCTTGTGCGCGCGCGAGTGGAGATTGAATCCCCGCCCCCTCCCCCGCCATGGCCCCCCTCCGCGCCATCCGCGCGTCCTTCGTGTGCCTCTCGCTCAACCTCACCCTCTGCTCGCTCTTCAACGGCCGCTATTTCTCCGCCCCGCCCTCCGCGCTTCCCCCAGTCCCCCTCGCCGCGGCCCCGCGCTCCCCTTCCCGCGCGCCTGATGCGCGCAATGGGGGGAGCGCGGAAGAGGCGGCGGGGTTCGTGTTGCCGAGTTCCGCGCGGGTGTGTAGTGAGGATCAGAGGAAATTCGCTATAAGTGGGCTTACTGCCTCGCTACACGCACTGACTTGGTGAGAGGGGGGTCACGTGGGGGCTTGGGAGTCATGGGGAAAAGAAGTTGGAGGAGGGGGGAGGAGGGGGAGAAGGGGTGTATGTGGAGAGGAGAGGGTGAGGAGATGTGATGTGATGTGATGTGATGTGATGTGATGTGATGTGATGTGATGTGATGTGATGTGATGTGATGTGATGTGATGTGATGTGATGTGATGTGACGTGGGTGGCTCAATGGATGTGATGCTCCATCCTCAGCCTCATGACATTCGCTTTCTCCCTGTATCCAACTCCTGTGATGTGTGACATGACTCACGTCCACATCACATGTGTTGCCATGCCATGCCATGCTATGTCTTGTCCATGCCACGTCATCATGCCACATGGCATGCCCATTGACCACCAGGAGTCCGTGTGTGTCGGAGTGGGAGCAGCATCTTATCACAACAGTGCCATCGCAGTCACTCATCCCTGTGTGGTATCAGCGCCGTCACGCACCTGCTCCTGCTGCCACATGCCTTGCGCCGTTCGTCCGGAAGGGTGATTCCTTTCTCTCTCTTGCTTTGCCACTGGAGAACTCAAGCGCACTCGCATGAATCTGTTCCCGTGCACCGCAAATTCCCGAATTGGCCCCATTCCCTCGTTCCCCCCATTGCCCCCATTCATCCCCCCTCCTCTCATTCACTCCATTCCTCCCCCCCCCCTCCCCTTCCCCCCCTCATTCCCCACAACTCCCCCCGTTCCCCCATTCCCCCTGTCCCCCCCACCCTAGGCACCAAGCTGCATCGTCTGCAGGCGAGGCCAGGGGGAGACCAGGGGCAGAGGGAACGGGGAGAAGGGGACGAAGAGGGGCAGGGGAGAGAGGGCGGGGGCAGCTCAGAGGTAGCAGCAGCGAATGGGGGTCACGGAGTGGGGGGAGAGGGGAGGGAGGGGAGGAGAGGAGTGAGCGTGGGGGGGGCGGGTCAGAGGCAAGGGGGTGTTGTGGATGTGTGTGGGGTGCTTAGCTTTAGTCCACTCCAACCAGCTACCTCTGATGGGGCTGCTCCCTCCGCCAAGGGTGCTGCTGCTGTTGCTGCTGCTGGTACTGGTGCTGGTGCTGGTGCTGGTGCTGGTGCTGGTGCTGGTGCTGCTGCTGCTGCTGCTGCTGCTGCTGCTGCTGCTGCTGCTGCTGGTGCTGCTGCTGCTGGTGCTGGTGCTGCTGCTGCTGCTGCTGCTGCTGCTGCTGCTGCTGCTGCTGCTGCTGCTGGTGCTGCTGCTGCTGGTGCTGGTGCTGCTGCTGCTGCTGCTGCTGCTGCTGCTGCTGCTGCTGCTGGTGCTGGTGCTGCTGCTGGTGCTGGTGCTGGTGCTGGTGCTGGTGCTGGTGCTGGTGCTGGTGCTGGTGCTGGTGCTGGTACTGGTGTTGTTAGCCAGAGAAACGTGCAGCAGCAAGAGAAGGGAAGGAAGAAGGGAGGAGGGAGAGGAGCATCAGAGAGGGCGGGCGGTGGGGAGAGAAGGGGCGGTGGGCGTGGGGAGGGAGGGAGCATGGAGCAGATGCAGCAGCATTCCATGCTGCTCCACGTGGCGTATCGGCATGTGAGTGGTGTGAGGGGGAGAATCATGTGAGGGGTGAGGGTGGTGTGAGGGGTGAGGGTGGTGTGAGGGGCGCGAGTGTGAGGGCGTGCTGCCTGAAAGGCATTGTTGTTGGCAGGCACCTCGAAAGGAATCCTAAACGCTTCCCCAGGAAAGCATCGAAGAACTGGTCTTCTTTGCTAATGCTTTTGGAACATTTGCCCTTTCTCTGTGCCATGGTCACGTGGCCATGTGACCACCGTTGAAATTTCGTCTATGAACCGCTCTATAGCATGGTCGCATGGCCATGTGACCACCGTTGAAATTTCGTCTCTGAACCGCTCTATAGCATGGTCGCATGGCCATGTGACCACCGTTGAAATTTCGTCTCTGAACCGCTCTATAGCATGGTCGCATGGCCATGTGACCACCGTTGAAATCTCGTCTCTGAACCGCTCTATAGCATGGTTGCATGGCCATGTGACCACCGTTAAATTTCGTCTCTGAACCGCTCTATAGCATGGTCGCATGGCCATGTGACCACCGTTGAAATTTCGTATCTGAACCACTCTATAGCATGGTCGCATGGCCATTCGGTGTGTGGCAGGTGGACGATGGGAGAATGCAGGAAGCCATCTCCATCTTCAACCAGGTGCGCTGCACATCCCCATCCCCATTCCCATCCACATCTCAACCCTGATCGAATCTTATGCCGCATCCACTTTTCCATCTGCTCACGAACCATCACCACCGTCTCACCCCACTCATAGAAGCACTTGATCTAGACAGCTTCCTTCATTCCTTCCTCCCCCCTCTCCCCCCTCTCCCCCCTCTTCGCACCATGCCGTGCAAGCAAGCAGCTAGAGGGTGATCCGGAGTACGAGGAAAGGGCCCTGGTGGGCCGAGGCACAGTGCACTTCCTAACAGGGCGGCACCAACAGGCTCTGGCCGACCTATCCCAGGTAGCCCTCCCAGGTAACCCTCCCAGGTAACCCTCCCAAGTATTAATCCACACTCGCGTTTGAGTCAGCTCCATGTGGGTGACGAACACATGCATGCTGTTGCATGTGGGCGACGTACACATGCATGCTATTGCATGTGGGCGACGTACACATGCATGCTATTGCATGTGGGCGACGTACACATGCATGCTATTGCATGTGGGCGACGTACACATGCATGCTGTTGCATGTGGGCGACGTACGCATGCATGCTGTTGCATGTGGGCGACGTACACATGCATGCTGTTGCATGTGGGCGACGTACACATGCATGCTATTGCATGTGGGTCACGTATACATGCATGCTGTTGCTTGTGGGCGATGTTAGTAGGATTTCCGGCAGCGCTCTCGCTGCTCTCAGGTCGTTCTTACACTCGAAACAAACTCCCGACAGCACTCTCGCAAGTACTAAGGGTAGACTTAACGCCACTAGTCAATTTCTGATTGCAAACAGGCAGCACGATGTGAGAGAGAATTTTCAGATTCACTATCTACAAAGAGATGCAAAGAAACAGATTTATATGGAAAAACAAATTTTCCTAAGCCACATGACATAGCGTAGCGCACATTCGAACCGCATTTCACACAACGTAACTGAACCGCATTTCTGCTCCTCCGAACACCGCGTCACTGTACCAATTTCTGCTCGTCACTCACAAGTCTTTCGCGTGTCCCAAACACCTCCTCCTTCCAACACGTAACCCTGCAGCCCCTCACCACATAGCACACCCGTATGTAGTCTCCTGCTTACGCCACCTGTTAGCGCTGCCACACTGCCACCTAGCTTACGCCATTTGTACGAGCTGCCACGCGTTGACCACCTCCAACAACCTCCCCTGTGGTTTGCGGCTTGCTCACTCAAGCTACGTGTGTAACCCCACCTCTCTCTTACAATGCTGGAAACGAGAAGTAGGTAGGACCTTGGTCAAGAAATCAGCTGGCTGCCGTTCTGTTCTCACATGCTCGAACCTGAAACTCTTGTTCGCCAGCTGCTCTCGCACCTAGTGATACCTAATGTCCATGTGTTTTGTCCGTCCATGCCAATCGTCATTCTGAGCTAGGTCCATCACTGACTGGCTATCCGTCCGGATGATGGTCGGACCCTCTGGCCCAAGATCTAGCTCCTTGAGTAGACGTCTCAACCAAACTCCCTCCTGACATGCGTAGAAGAGCACCATATACTCAGCTTCAGCGCTAGACAATGCGATGTCTGCCAATTTCTTGGCCTGCCACATGATCGCCGTTCCACCCAAAGGAAAACGTTCCTTAAGCTCCTCGTCTAGTCTCCTGATCTGAAGCGTGTGAAGCGTCTGCATACCCTACAAGCTGCAAAGACTCCTCTCCTCCTTTGAGCAATAGTCCCTCGTCCTCGTGTTGTAGGAGGTAACTAATCGTTCGCTCCATCTCCTTCCACTTCCGCCCATCCGCTTGCCGCACGTTTTGTCCAAGATAGCTAGCTGTGTAAGCTACATCGACCCTCGTGCATGCCACCGGGTACATCACCGAGCCCACCATCGACTGGTACTGCCTAAGTGCAACCTCTCAACTTCCCCATCGGACTAACTCAGCCTCGGTGTCTACCCCTTGCGCTGCTGCAGTACTCAAAGGTGTGGAAATCCTCCTGGCACTATTTTGATCTCCAAACTTATCTCGAAGACGATGGAAAAACTTCTTCTGCTTCAGCATCAGTTGCCTCTCATCCATGTTCCGCTCCAGATTCATCCCAAGGAACAATGAAGCATGTGGAATCCGCTTCACTTGAAAGACCTCTACTAGATGAGCGCATACGCTCTCTACATCCTCCTCTGTCGCTCCTGCCACCAATATGTCATCGACACATAGGAGTAGGAACACCTTCTCCTTCCCTTCTCCTCTCCAATAGAACGCCTTGTCACACTCGCTCTTCTGAAACCCTCATTGGAGTAGCCTCCTATCCATTACCCTATACCACTCGCGAGGACTCTGCTTCAGCCCATAAAGCGCTTTCAGAATCCGACACTTTCGTCCTGTTCCATCATCTCTACCCGGCGGCTGCTCCATGTAAATGTCATCGCGAAGCTCGCCATACAAGAAGGCATTCTTTATGTCTAATTGTACCTGATGAAGATCTCTTGCTGCTATCACTGCGAGAAGTGCCCTAGTTGTGGTAAATCTACTCACAGGCGTATAGGTATCGGTGTAATCGACGCCTTCTACCTGCGTGTACCATTTCGCTACGAGCCTTGCCTTGAACCTTTCCAGCTGCCCCAAGTCTCCTGTCTTTATCTTGAAGATCCACTTCACCCCCACTGCTTTCCTCCCTTCTGGCACTGGCAGTGGCACTAGCTCCCAGGTTCCCCTCTCTGCTAGCGTATTAAGCTCTTCTTCTATGGCTGCTTGCCACTGCTCCTTGTTCGGTCCTGTCAAAGCCTCCTCTATCGTGATCGGCTCCTCTGGCAGATCCTTTGCCGCTCTACTCCCCTGTGATACTAAGGTTGTTGTAGTGGTAGTGAGCAGCAGATGAGAATGAATGTCTCTGCATCCGGTTATGAGAATCTGTGCATACTTTGGATTCGGCTTCTTCACCCTCTTCCCCCTGCCTAACTCCACCGTAGGCACCTGTGACGCATCCCCTCCTTCTTCGTTAGAGGCTGCTCCTTCCTGCTCTGCTCTCTCCTCTTCTTCTCGTCCTAGGACTATCGCTCCTTCTTGTAACAAAGAGTCTATCTCCTTGGCTGCTGGACTGCCACTATCACTCGCCATCAACCTCCATGGATCAGTCTCGTCTCCAGCTGTAGTAGCGCTCCCTTGTGTGCCCTCTGCTACTTCCACCTGACTCTCCTCTTCCTCATGGTGTCATGCCCTGCTCTCTACCTTCTCATGTACGGGCTAAATGGCTGGTCCTGCTAGCTCTTCGCTCGCTACCCTCTTCTCTACCTCCTTCGGGTGCCACTCCCATTCCACCTCAGCCCCAATCTGCTCTTCCTCGGTCTCCTCCTCTCTACCAGCTGCTGCTGTTCCTAATCCTTCCTGGTTAGCCTCCTCCAGCAGTTCCTCCATCGTTTTTGCTGTCTCTGCTGACTCTTGGCTCAAGCCTTTCCATTGGGGATAAGTGACATCCTCATAGAAAGTAGTATCCCGAGAAATCAGCACCTTCCCAATCTCCACGTCCTTCACCACCCAGCCCTTGCTGTTTAGATATATCCCGAAGTTTATGCCCCACGTGGTCCTTGGCAACAGCTTGTGCTCAGGACCAACCGGCTCTCGATATTGGACCATACAGCCCCATACCCTCAGGAAGCTCACATCAGGCTTCCTCCTATAGAATGCCTCATGAGGGGTAAGGTCACCCACAGTTCCTTTGGTAGGCAGTCTTTTTTTAATCCAACATGCCATAGCCAAAGCATCACCCCAAAACCTCAGTGGAAGCCCATTATCAGCAAGCATACTCTTCACGCTGTTCAGCAGCGACCTGTTTACTCGCTCTGCAATGCTGTTGCGCTGTGGGATATAAGGGACAGTCAGTTGCCTCTTGATACCTCTGGACTGACAAAACTCTGTGAACCTCCTGTCTGTAAATTCACCTCCATTGTCAGTCCTCAGCAGCTTCAGCACTCTTCCACTGTGGCGTTCAGCTTCAGCCATCCAAGCCACAAAGCTTGGAAATGCCTCTGTCTTTTTTCTCATCTCTGTTACCCACGTATTCCGTATACCAAGATCAGTGAATGTGATGAAATACCTGCTCCCATGCCTGGAAGCTACTCGCACTGGTCCATCCACAGACATCTGCAGCCACGACTTCGAGTGCCCCATAGGGTTCTCAAACCTCGTGCTTAGGATGTGGAAGTTTGCTCGCTTTTCCTTGCACACACTCACTGCATGGCTTAGCAGACTCCTTACTCTGGTTCAGCTTCATCCCCATAACCATCTCCTTCGCCACCATCTCCTTAAGCCGCTCCTCACTAGCATGACCCATCCTTCTGTGCCACATGCCTAGCTCCACTCCTCCTGCTGCCTTTGCTATAGCCATTGACCGTAACTGTGGCTCTCCCTCTGGCCTCTCCTCTATCATGGCAACCAGCTCCTCCCTAGCCTTCTTGCCCTCCTCAGGTTCGGGCAGATAGCTAACTATTCCCTTCACCAACCCCTTCACTTGTAACTGCATCTCGTACAAACCCTGACTGCGCACCCCCTCAGCTAGAATGTGCCAATCCGTTCCAAAGACCCACATCTTTCCCTTCCCTTATCACTGAAGAACTTGCTTCCTGTGCTATCGAGCTGAGACTGGCTAATCAGGTTTAGCGACAGCTTCTCGACCAGCAAAACGTTCTCAAGGGTCAGCTCCCCGTACGGACTTTGTAGCACGATCTCTCCTTCTCCCAACACTGGCAGCCTCCCCTCATCTTCTAGCAGCACATAGGGTACTGCTGACTGTCTGAAACTAGTCAACAAGTCACCTCTGTAGGTCATGTGCTGTGTGCACCCACTATCCATGAACCAGCCTTTCTCCTCAAGCCCCTTTGTGAGCAAGCATACCTCCGACGCCCTAGCCAAGTTCGCTCTATGTGCTCCTCCAAGAATAGCATCCTCCTCCCTAACGCGCCTGCTGCATTTACTCTAGCCGCTGCGGTTTTCTGTTGCACTCATACCCCTTGGAAACGTTGACTCCTAGGGTTGAGAAAACAATCTACCGCCTTATGCCCATACCGCCCGCAGTGATTGCAGCTGTCCATGAAACCTCCTCCTGTCCTCGCCTTTTCTCCTGCTGCCCTAACCGCACCCTGCTCTTTCCCTAAGGTCTTCCCCCTGAAATTCTTACTCTTAGGATTGAAATAGCACTCGGCTGCCTTATGCTAATTTCTACCGCACTCAAAACATGGTCCAAAGCCCTTCGCTGTAGACCTTGTCACATTAACTAGAGCTGGTTTCACTGGTGCAGCACTACTAGCAGTTGCCTCCTTCCTCTTCCTCTCTGTCTTAACCAGCTCTAGCGATTGCAGCATCTCTACAAGCTTTGTGAGTGATGAAGGCGGGTTGCAAGTCAGCATGCCTATCTCCATCTCCCACTCCTTCGGTAGCCCATTGATGATATACCCTATCATCTCTCCCTCGGATTCCGCCGCACCCATACGCCTGCAGATCATCGTTATAACTCCGCGCCCTGTTCACGAACTCGATGATACTCTCCTTCTCCTCCATGCTCAACAACAGCAACTTCTTTCTAACGATCGCTTTGTTGGTGTCGGTACGACCAAGGTAAACCGTCTCCATATACTCCCACGCTCTTTGCGTTGGATTTAACTCCCCTGCAAACTGATCTAACCCTACAGCTATGCTGTCTGCAACAGAGTGACATAGCTGAAAGAACGCTTGCTTACTCTTCTTTTTATACGTCGCCTTTTCACGCGCAGACGCTTCTACACCTGGTGGTACTCCTTCCTGTGTCGTCTCGTCAGGATGATAGAACGCCCAGAGGTCTACTTCCTCTGCCCTCATGATAAACTTCAAGCGCCACGTACTATAGTTGCTGCCACTAAAACGCTGCGCCTCGCTCAAGCCAATCGTTGGCTTCGAAACGACATGTCCATGCGCTAACGCTTCTAGGAGAGCTTGTAGTTGCGGGCCTCCACCAGCGGACGATCCCGAGCTAACCTCGCCACGTTCATCCGTCATGGCGTAGGCATTCTAACTCTCTCTAGCCGTGCGCAACAAGAATTCGCTAAGCTCTGATACCAACCGTTAGGATTTCCGGCAGCGCTCTCGCTGCTCTCAGGTCGTTCTTACACTCCAAACAAACTCCCGACAGCACTCTCGCAAGTACTAAGGATAGACTTAACTCCACTAGTCAAGTTCTGATTGCAAACAGGTAGCACGACGTGAGAGAGAATTTTCATATTCACTATCTACAAAGAGATACAAAGAAACACATTTATATGGAAAAACAAAAATTCCTAAGCCACATGACATAGCGTAGCGCACATCCGAACCGCATTTCACACAACGTAACCGAACCACATTTCTGCTCCTCCGAACACCGCGTCACTGTACCAATTTCTGCTCGTCGCTCACAAGTCCTCCGCATGTCCCAAACACCTCCTCCTTCCAACACGTAACCCTGCAGTCCCTCACCACCTAGCACACCCGTATGTAGTCTCCAGCTTACGCCACCTGTTAGCGCTGCCACACTGCCACCTAGCTTACGCCATTTGTACGAGCTGCCACGCGTTGACTAGGGGCAAGCGCGAACCACCTCCAAAACAGGCGACGTACACATGCATGCTGTTGCATGTGGGCGAGGTACACATGCATGCTATTGCATGTGGGCGACGTACACATGCATGCTATTGCATTTGTGCGACGTATACGTGCATGCTGTTGCATGTGGGCGACGTACACATGCATGCTATTGCATGTGGGCGACGTACACATGCATGCTATTGCATGTGGGCGACGTACACATGCATGCTATTGCATGTCGGCGACGTACACATGCATGCTATTGCATGTGGGCGACGTACGCATGCATGCTGTTGCATGTGGGCGACGTACACATGCATGCTATTGCATGTGGGCGACGTACACATGCATGCTATTGCATGTGGGCGACGTACACATGCATGCTATTCCAAGCGGGCGACGTACACATGCATGCTATTGCATGTGGCGACGTACACAGGCATGCTATTGCATGTGGGCGATGTACACATGCATGCTATTGCATGTGGGCGAAGTACACATGCGTGCTATTGCATCTGGGCGACGGACACATGCATGCTATTGCATGTGGGCGACGTACACATGCATGCTATTGCATGTGGGCGACGTACACATGCATGCTGTTGCATGTGGGCGACGTACACATGCATGCTTTTCCATGTGGGCATGCTGTTTCATGTGGGCGACGTACACATGCATGCTGTTGGATGTGGGCGACGTACACATGCATGCTGTTGCATGTGGGCGACGTACACATGCATGCTGTTGCATGTGGGCGACGTACACATGCATGCTGTTGCATGTCGGCCATGTACACATGCATGCTATTGCATGTGGGCGACGTACACATGCATGCTGTTGCATGTGGGCGACGTAAACATGCATGCTATTGCATGTGGGCGACGTACACATGCATGCTATTGCATGTGGGCGACGTACACATGCATGCTGTTGCATGTGGGCGACGTACACATGCGTGCTGTTGCATGTGGGCGACGTACACATGCATGCTATTGCATGTGGGCGACGTACACATGCATGCCATCACCAAGGAAGGGCTGGTTTTACATGCTTTCAGAAAATTGCTGCGGTAGGCAAAGAGCCACAGTAGACCCCCCTCCTATGAGTGCGGCAGCAGCCCAGTCGACCCCCCTTCTTTGAGGGCAGCAGCATCCCAGTAGACCCCCCTCCTTTGAGGGCGGCAGCAGTAGGCTCTCCTGGCCTATCCGGGGTGCAACAACCCCGGCTAGGGTATCTTTCCGCAAGCGGACACTTCATGGGAGAGGCACGTTGCGCCTGGGGAGGCATGCCATGCCTCACAGGGGGCTCTGGCGGACTCTCCTCGGCAGGCAGCACCAGGGTCGTCTGCACTGATGTCCCTCCAGAACTGCAGCCATTTCGGAGCCTCGGTCAGTCCAGAGCCGCCGGCGCGGGGTAGTGTTATGGGTTGTGTTTGTGTCCGTGTCAGCATTCCAGTCTCGCCCTCCCCTGCTGCTCATCCCGAGGCCCAAGCATGCACGCATGCATGCACAACCCGTAGGCACTTGAATGACAGGGCCCGTGCTCTCAAGACGTGCTGACGGCCGTGTGGGAAGCAGGACGGGCACTGCTGTAGTGTGCTCTTTCTCTAAGGACACGGCTGCTCTGCCCCCTGAAAACCAGCATGCTCTGGCTACCTAGCCCGCTCTTTTGCGGCGCCTCACAAGGTCAGTACCGAGTGGGCTTCCCCCTCCTTTCCCCCTATTCACCCCCTCCCCCTTATCTCCCCACCTCTGCCCCAGGTCACCTCCCGGTTCCCCCTGAGCGCGGATGCGTGGCAGAGGAGGGGCGTGGTGCTCCAGCAGATGGGGCTGCTGCAGGAGGTGCGGCATGGCATGGCATAGCTTGGCATGGCTTGGGGGCATGGCATGGCATGGGGGCATGGTATGGCATGGCATGGGGGCATGGCATGGCATGGCATGGGGGCATGGAATGGCATGGCATTTGGGCATGGCATGGCATGGCATGGCATGTCATGGCATGGCATGGAACAGGGGTCATGGCATGGGGGCATGGCATGGCGTGGGGGCATGGCATGGCATGGGGCCATGGTGGCTGGATGATGATCTGACATTGACACAGTGTGCTGGCACCAGCACGGACGCGGCCTGATTTGGTGCGGTGTGGTGTGGTGTGGTGTGGAGTGGTGTGGAGTGAAGAGGTGTCGTGTGGTGTGGTGTTTGAGAATGTGGTTGATACATGAGCAGGAGCAACCATGCATGAGACCACCTTCCCCAGCATCAGCTGCCCCCTCCTCGCTTCTCCACGCCCCTCCCTCACGCTTACTCCTCCCCTTCCCACCCCTGTCTCATCCCCCATATCACACATCAATACAGCCTTACAGCTGCAACCCTCCCTCTCCCTCCCTCACTCTTCCTCCCTCTCCCTCCCTCACTCTTCCTCCCTCTCCCTCCCTCACTCTTCCTCCCTCTCCCTCCCTCACTCTTCCTCCCTCTCCCTCCATCACTCTCCATCACTCTCCCTCCTCTCCCTCGCCCACCTCCTCGTGGCAGGCCCTATCCGACATCAACAGGGCGGTACAGCTGCAGCCACATGAGCCCCACCACGTCAAGCAGCGAGGTGGGCCTGCGCGTGCTGCTACTGCTGCTGCTGCTGCCACACCACGCCCTTGCTTCCTCCACGCCACATCCCAGATAACACTATCCTTGAAAGCCCAAGAACTTGAGGAACGCACTCCCCCCACACACGCCCACATTGCTTGCTGCCATCGCCTCCTCTCCATTGCATCTCTGCCAAAATCATCTCTAAACTAGTCCAGGCCAGGGCACAAGGCTTGCTGCAGTTCGATTCGTTCAATTTCTCTGCTGCAGTCGCCTCCTCGCAAATGCATTTGTGCCAGCCACTGTGCCTTGTCTCCCAAGGAGATTTGCCCTCCCAAGGAGGTCAAGGCACTTGAGGGCAGCAAAAGTGGTGAAGCGATTTCTGTGGGGCCTGAAAAATAAGATGCAGTAGCGCCTCAAAGAGCTGTGCACTGCAGTAGCGCCTCAAAGAGCTGCGCACTGCAGTAGCGCCTCAAAGAGCTGCGCACTGCAGTAGCGCCTCAAAGAGCTGCGCACTGCAGTAGCGCCTCAAAGAGCTGCGCACTGCAGTAGCGCCTCAAAGAGCTGCGCACTGCAGAAGCGCCTCAAAGAGCTGCGCACTGCAGTAGCGCCTCAAGGGTCTCGTTACTTGAGAGACAACTCAAAACTTGCTGCCATAACCCCTCTCTCTCTCTCAAGCGGTCCTGCTCATTGGATTAACCCTGAGTACAAACTAGGAAGTTCAAGAGTCCAGCCACCAAGGGCCAAAACCTGAACATGGGAGAACCTAGAAGGCTAGGCCAATGCGATCACGGCACTAGCCGCCCCAATGCTATGCCACCCCCTTCCCCGGGCAGGAACTAAGGCTCCCCATCTTCCAAAGTGTCATACACATCCCCCAAGTAAGGTGCCCAGGGGTCCTCCGCCGGCTGCGGGTAAGCAGCCTCAATAGCTGCCCCGGCTCTGGTGATAAGCGTGCTCGCCTGAAGCCGCTGGAGCAGCACTGACCACCGCTGCCGGAAGTGACAATGCAGCTTCCTGGCCGGTGTGGTAAGCGGGTTAGCACGGAAACAGACCAGGGCAGAGTGCTCGGCTAGTAACTTGAGGAACTCCGCCGTTGGTGCTGCCAAAGCCCTGTAAGTTTCGACAGCCAAAGTGTTGAAGCCGACGTATGCAGGGCGGTCCTCGTATTCCCTGCCCTTGGCCCGCGCGGCCTCCCTTGCTGCCCAGCCAGGTAGGCCGCCGGCGTCCAGGTCACGGCGCTGCAGCACCGGGTCAGTCACGGTAACGTCGGTGACCCAGGTTGCACCGCTCTCGAAGTCTCGCACCGCCAGGTCAGCCCGCTTCCTGTTGGTCGGGGTGGTGAATTAGGTTGTTTCGTGGTAGGTAATGAAACCCGCCTCCCGCGCCATACGCAGAGTCGCGTATACCAAGGCGTTGTGCAAGCGCTTGGGGTATCCGCCCTGGTTGCACCTCAGAATGTGGTTAGCTAGGCTGGGATCCAATATCTCCGCCTCCCCGCATGAGCATCCCCCTGGGACTGGGTGGGGCAGGCCGAGGCGGAAGGCCAGCGCCATGCCGAACTGGCCGGGGGAGAAAGAGAGGTCCGGGCGGGAGGGAATGGCTAGCAGCCAATCCCCTGCCCCCGTGCCGCGCAGGCTGGTGAGTCGAGTGCCGTGGGCGTTCTCCAGCCCGGGTCTATCCAGCAAGGTATCGGCGAACAGCTCCTCTGCCATGCCATGCACTCTGCTTTCGCACCTTTCCCCCATGGCCCAGGAAAGCTGTTGTTCCACTTCACGGAGTAGAGAGCGGCAATGGTCCACCTCAACTCAAAGAGCCACGTTACTTGCTGCTGTGAAACCGCTCTCTCACCTTGCCTTGCCTCCCCCCCATGGCCCAGGAAAGCTGTTGTTCCAAGTCAAGGACTACAGGGCTGCAGTGGCAGACCTCTCTCCCCTGCAGGACACACCCCTGGCCACAGCTGACGTCATGCGCACTCTGGTAAGACTTGCATTGTTGGGGTATGTCCCACACTGTCTTGCAATCTCGCTTCCTGCTTTCCTGCAATTTCGCATTTTGCAGGAAAGGGGCACTTCTGTCACTTCTGCTGGACCACAGCAGCATTGAGATTTCAGCGCGTTCAAGACAGCAACACAAGTGCACGGGCAAGTGCTGAAAGGATTTTCAGAAGGCATTATGTCAGCTCAATGTCCCCCCTCCCTCCCCCCCCCTCCTCTTCTTCCTCTCCTCCCAACGCCCTCCTTCCCCCCCACTCCCCACACTCTCCTGCTTTCCCAGGGGGTGGGCAACAGCAACGTTGGGGCCGTTCAAGGCAGCAAAGGGAGTGTCCAGGCGAGCGCTGAACCGCTACCCAAAGGGCAATAGTGTCAACTCAATGCCCCCCCTCTCCCCTTCCTCCCCCGGCTTCCCCACTGCCCCTGTCTATCCCAAGGGCTGGGCGTCAGCCGCGCTGGGGGCGTTCAAGGCGGCAGCCCAAGTGTACGGGCGAGCACTGGAGCGCTTTCCCCAGGAGGGCGCACTGTGGCGCGAGAAGGGGTGCTCGCACAAGGAGCTGGGGGAGGCTCAGCTGGCGCGGGCGTGCCTGGAGAAGGCCGTTGCTATAGAGAGGTGGGGGGAGATGACAAGGACTGTTTTAGAGGTGAGAGGCGGCGAGGGAGAGGGAGGGTAATGGTCGTATAGCGACGCATAAGGAGCTGGGGGAGGCTCACCTGGTGCGGGAGTGCCTGAGGAAGGCTGTTGCGGTAGAGAGGTGAGGACGGGAGAGGGGGGCGAGGGGAGGGAAGGCGAGGGGAGGGAAGGCCAGGGGAGGGAAGGCGTGGGGAGTGGTGGGCTGGGGAAGGGGTGTCTAGCAAGGGACAAGGATCTCAGAGAGGCGTAGCAGGCAGGGGAGTGCCTGGAGAAGGCCGTTGCGGTAGAGAGGAGGTGAGGGGAGAGAGAGATGAGAGGAGATGGTGGTTATGGGGGAGTGGGGGAGATTGTTGAGCAGGGCACAAGGAACTAAGGGAGGTGCGGCGTGTGGGGGAGTGCCTGGAGAAGGCCGTTGCGAGAGAGAGGTGGGCGGGAAGAGGGAAAAGGAGAGAGTTGGAGGGTTAATGGGGGCGGGGGGGGATGGGTGAGAGGGAATGCGACTGTTCGTTCTTGCTCCTGTAAAAGGCAGATGGTAGAGGGCGGGGACAGCTTTCGAGTCGACTCAAAAGCAGGCTCCTGTAAAGGGCCGATGGTAGAGGGCGGGGACGGGCGACGGGTGGGAGGGAGGAGGAAGAGCAAGAGTGTGGGTAGGGGGGGGTGAGAAAGAAAAGGCGTGAGCCGGAGACTGCAGGTGGGGAGAGGAGCAAATTGGGCGTGGATGGGTGGCTGGTTTCTCACCTCTCTTTTTCTCGTTTCTCACCTCTCTTTTTCTCGTTTCTCACCTCTCTTTTTCTCGTGTCTCACCTCTCTCATCTCTCGTTACCTCGTTGTGCCGCCCCTTCAGGGCGCCGGAGAATTACCACAAGCTCGCCCTTCTGCACATGCACACAGGCAAGCCCAGGTGAGGCGGCAACACCCCACAAGCATACCGTTCTCCCATGGACTTGGCGTTTTTGGCACTTCGTACCTTTCCCTGTGTTCACTCAAGAGGGGGAAAGGGGGAAGGGGAAGGGGAAGGGGAAGGCGAGATGAGCAAGAGTCTGCGCAGTGTATGACAGTCGTGTTTTGGTGGGTTGTGCTATTTTAGATTGGCTCCAGCTGGGGCAGAAAATGGGGCCCGCTGCTCAATGTTGGGAGAATTGACGAATGAAAATGCAGAATTTTGCCATTTCTGCGCCACATTCAGCTCCGGGCTCGGGTTTCTGCCCAAGCTCGAGCCTAATGTCGCCCGCCCTAAGCCTCCTCTACTGGGCTACTCAAAAGGATTAACCAATCTGCCATGTCACGATTAGTTCTTGGTGGGGATTTCCCCTCCAATCCTCTTTCATGAGGACGACAGGAGGGGAGGGGTTTCCTTCCGCGGCCGTATTACTGCATGTCAAGGGTTTCAGCTCCATATTGTGATGGGAGAAGGGGAGAAGGAAGGACGAGAGAGTATGACGAGAAAGGAGCGTGAGGGAGGGTCTGTTGTAGCTTGTGACAAGGTCAACATGAATCAGCGCAATCGTAGCTTCTCTTTCTCCCCCCCCTCTACCCGCCCACTTTCCCCTCCACGCGCCAGGCAAGCTCTCAAGGTGGCAAGCGAGGGGCTTCGGCTCTTCCCTCACAGCACCGCCCTGCACTACCTTGCTGCCTCCGCCCACCACGCTCTAGCCGACCACGCAGCTGCCGTATGCCTCTCTCTCCAAATCCCTCGCACTCTCTCTCAAGCAGTTCTGGCCATTACCGCTATATAATGGCTTCTTCATCGTGCATTCCCAAACCACAACTACCTCCTCTTTTCAGCTCCTTTTCTCTGCATTCCTCATTCCGTGTCATCCCTGTGGCACCCTCCCTGTGACATGGCACCCTCCCTGTGACATGGCACCCTCCCTGTGACATGGCACCCTCCCTGTGACATGGCACCCTCCCTGTGACATGGCACCCTCCCTGTGACATGGCACCCTCCCTGTGACATGGCACCCTCCCTGTGACATGTCACCCTCCCCTGTGGCACCCCACATCAGGCGAAGCACTACAGCACGGTCCTCAGCACGGGAGGACAGTCCACAGAGGAGCACGCGCAAAAGCACTACAATCTCGCGTTCTACCAGGTCAGACAGGACCAGGCGACCCTTCGTTCAAGCAAAGCTCAGCCAGTCGATTTTTGAGGTGCTTAGAAAATTGGAGCTTGCGCAGAAGCACTGCAACCGCACATTATACTTGGTAACACCCCCGCGAGCGTGTCCTTTTCCCCCCCCCGTTCCCACCCTCTCTCCTTCCTTCTCCCCCCCCTCGCCCTCAGAGGGAGGTAGCAGCGTACACGCGCACCTGTCTCACCCAGCCCTTGACAGCATGCAACATCGACGCTCATCTGCACCCCGCCCTTCTCGTCCGTCCCTCCCTTGCCTTGCCCCCCTCTTCACCCCTCCTTGTGCGCTACTCTCTGTGGCTCGTGGGGCTGTTCTGTTCATTAAGGATAGAAAGGTTATTGACTGTTTGGCAGGTCAGGAGCACGGATGTTCACTGATCCACTGAGCGCAGCAGGCGGCCCATGTTTAGGATTAAGTTTTAGAATCCAACTAAGCACCCTGCTCCCCACCCCGCCAGTTACCTTAGGACCGCCTGTTTTAACTTGGGGCCTCTGAACGAGCAAGCATTTCCTGCTGTTTTTCTTGTTCGTTTTTATAAGCCCTTTCTGTTGTTAGATTACCATCTCATCCTTTTCCCACCAACGTGGCCCACATTCGCAGCCTCCGTTTTCCTCGTACCCTGATGCCAGCACAACCACACTCCTGCCATGCTCTCCCTCGCTTCCCGCACCCCATACACGTCCCCCCCCACAGGAAGCATGGATGAAGCTTGAGCCCCCCCACTTGCTACCCCCCTCAGCTCCCAGATACACAGCAGAGCAGCACCAACAGCAGCAGCGCCAGCAGCAGCAGGGGGAGGTGCGGCTATCAGCGGGTGCGGTAGCCCTGGTGGCAAAGGCGGACAAGGTGGGCCCGCGAGCCATGTACCGCGTGGGGGGCTTCCTGCACGACAAGCGCAAGGTGCGCACGGGTTGGCCATGAGAGGCGTGGGTGGGTGGGCCCCGACAGGCGTGGGTGGGGGGTTTGAGAGCTATGTGGGTCTCAATTCGCAAGGTGGACGAAGTGGGCCGTCGAGAGCCATGTACCACGTGTCACGGATTCGAGCACGACAAGCACAAGGTGGGCATGGGCTGGGTGCGCTGGGTGACAAGGGCTGGTGGGGAGGGGGTGAATTGCTAGTTGAAGGTTGGAGTTGTCTCTTCCCTCCGTTTCTCATTCTCCCTTCCCTCCTTTCTAGTTTGACCCCCCCTCCTCCCTCATTCCCCTCCTGCCTTCCCCTCCCCTCTCTTCCTCCCCTCAGCAGCGCATGGCGGGGATGGCAGCACTGGATGTGATGCGCATCTTCCTACATTGCTCTCATCTTCCCATCTTCCCACCTTTTCTCTTTGCCTCCTCCCCTCCTCTCCCCCCCTCCTCTCCCAACCCCCCCCCTTCAGCTGCGCATGGCGGGGCTGGCAGCGCTGGATGTGATGCAGCAGGCCAGCAGCACATGGCAGGCCATGCAGGAGGACGAGGAGGAGGAGCAGGATGGCAGCGTGGTGGGTAGCAGCAGTGGGAGGGATGGCAGCAGCAGCAGCAGCAGCAGCAGCACAGGAAAAGTGAAACAGCAGAAGAGGAGGGGGGCGAGGATAGGAGGGTGGAGGGACGTGTTTCAGGCGATTGTGAGATGGAGGCAGATAGTTGACCCCATGGATGCCGTCTCGTGGATCCAAGACGGGTGAGCCATGCTAGCAAGGAGCACATGGGCATGCTAGTCAGCGAGCATGCATACCCATGCTCGGATTGGTGCTAGCTTTCAAGATCCTACCCGATGTTTTGTTTCTCTTTTCTTGCTTTCCTCTTTGAGCCCGCTCAATGCAATCCAGCTCACACCGTGAGCTCACTTCGAGTCCTGTGTGGATACTGCCCCCCCTCTCCCCCCTCTACCCTCACCCCCTCTTTCCCTCTCGAACCCCCCCCCCCTAAACCCCTCCGGCTCTCTCCCCCTGTCCACGGCCACCTCTCTCCCTGGCAGCAAGGCGAGCTACGGCAGCCATGTGGCGGCGACGCCCATAGTGGATGGGCAGATGGACAACTACAAGTACTTCCAGTTCTACGACAGGTGCGCGCATGACATGGCATGCTTGCTGTTTGCTGCATGGGTGTGTGCTGCATGGGTGCGTGCATGCTGCATGGGTGCGTGCATGCTGCATGGGTACGTGCATGCTGCATGGGTGCGTGCATGCTGCATGGGTGCGTGCATGCTGCATGGGTGCGTGCATGCTGCATGGGTGCGTGCATGCTGCATGGGTGCGTGCATGCTGCATGGGTGCGTGCATGCTGCATGGGTGCGTGCATGCTGCATGGGTGCGTGCATCAGGATCATGTGCTGTGTGGCATGCAGCAGCAACGGACATAGTGGATGGGCAGATGCACAGCTACAAGTACTTGCAGTTCCACCACAGGTGCGGCCAGTGCATGGTGCATGGCTCATGGGTGCGTGACTCATGGGTGCATGGCTCATGGGTGCATGACCCATGGATGCATAACTCAGGGGTGCAAGACTCATGGTCCCTGCCCTATCACAGCCATCACCGTTACATGGCATGGCATGGCATGGCATGTTATGGCATGGCATGGCATGGCATGGCATGGCATGGCATGGCATGGCATGGCACCCATGGGTCCTATCATATCTGCATGTTCCATGCATGCCGCGCTGCGTCATGCCTGCTGTGAAAGAAACAGCTGCTGCTGTTTTCCTGTGTCGCATGCATGCATGGCAAGCGTGGCAGCACTCTTGCATGTGGTAGGAATAAAAAGTTGATTGGTCTAAAAGTGGTTCCAATTATAGGTGCCGTGACGGTTGGCCAAGTCCCACGTACTTGGGCCAATAATGGTTGCCGTGACTTGACCACCATTTGGCCCTCCAAGTCGTATGGTCAAGAGTTGGTGGCTCCATGAAAAGGCTTCGCAGCAACCCTGACCCAAGTGTACTCCCAGCAATGGGTGCACACCTAGAGTTCTAGCGTTAGCGATCTATGTATTTCCAGCATGATGTCGTGCCATGCTGCTCTTCTCAGCCGTATCATGCCCCTATGCTGCCACAGCTCCAGCTTGGCGCCATGACTTGCAACAGCTTGTCCATGTATTTGTGACAGTATGTGTGACAGTATGTGTGATTGTATGTGTCACAGTATGTGTGACAATATGTGTGACAGTATGTGTTACAGTATGTGACACTTCCCAGTTGGTTCCAATCTGGCATGGGTTCATTTTGTGGCAGATAGTTGCTGATGGTTGAAGAAGGGGAGAGGCCCATACGCCGTACGCACCCATGTCTCTGAACGCCTCTGTACGCACTGCATGCTTCGCTTCCTCTCCCCCCCTCTCCCCCCACCATCTGTCTCCCGCCCACAGGGCGTTCTCTCTGATCAAGGATCGGCTCCTCGCTACACGCTCAGCCACAGCTGACTCTGGCACCTCCAGCATATCCCTCTCTGCCTCCTCTCTCAAAAAGGTGCCTCTCTCGCTCCCTCCCTCCCTTCTCGCTGCCTTCCTCCATTCCTTCGCCTCTCATCCCTACCTTGCTGCTGCCTTCCCTCTACCTTCTGTCCTGAGCCTTGTCTCTACTGTGTTGTGCTGTGCTGTGCTCTGCTCTGCTCTGCTCTGCTGTGCTGTGTGGTGCCATGGGAGCAGGTGCGCAGGGCATCAGGGTTGGGGGAGCTGCATGCAGCAGTGGGGAGGGACTTCTATGTGCAGCTGCCGTGCTACAGCCGGGCCAACCCAGGGTGAGGCCCATGCTGACGTCAGTGCTGACGCCAATGATGAGGACAATGCTGAGGACAATGCTGAGGGCAATGCTGACGTCATAGCTGAGGTCAATGCCAGACGTGAGAGTGCCAGGTTGAGTCATCGCTACTGGTGGCAAGGATCCACATACAGTGTTAGTGAACATGGCATGTGAAGCGGCATGGCATGTGAAGCGGCATGGCATGTGAAGCGGCATGGCATGTGAAGCGGCATGGCATGTGAAGCGGCTGGCATGTGAAGCGGCATGGCATGTGAAGCGGCTGGCATGTGAAGCGGCATGGCATGTGAAGCGGCATGGTATGTGAAGCGGCATGGCATGTGAAGCGGCATGGTATGTGAAGCGGCATGGTATGTGAAGCGGCATGGTATGTGAAGCGGCATGGTGGAGGTGAGAGCATGATGCGCTGTCAGTGGGACTGGGGTCAAGCTAAGCACACGTAAGCATTCCAAGGTCGGTCTAACAGGTATGCTTAGGGCCATCGTGCACGCTCACTCTTTGTGACTCACCCTGCCTGGGGGTGCACCATGGGTGCACCATGGGTGCATCATGGGTGCATCATGGGTGCATCATGGGTGCATCATGGGTGCATCATGGGTGCATCATGGGTGCATCATGGGTGCATCATGGATTCATGGGTGCATCATGGGTGCATCATGGGTGCATCATGGGTGCATCATGGGTGCATCATGGGTGCATCATGGGTGCATCATGGGTGCATCATGGGTGTATCATGGGTTCATCATGGGTGCATCATCGTACACACTCCCTTGTCTCTCTCATACCATAGCCCCTCTTCCATCCTTTGACTGTGCTCACCACATCTCCTCAATTCCTCTTCTCTCCCACACCACACATCCCACGGCACCACACCCCCCATGCACACACCACGACACACCACAGGGCGGACATTGGCGGCATTCAGCTCTCGTTAATAAGCACGTGAGTCTGCACACTTGAAAAGATCGTGATACACTCCCCTCTCTCACGCACCTGTTTCCCTCATTTCTGAATCATTGCTCCCTTGCTGCTGCTGAATTTCTTTCAGCCGCACAATGCATCACAAAAGCGCTCTGTTCAGCATCACTCATCTCCTCACGTCCACTTCTTCACTGCACTACATGTCTCTCTGCTCCCTCGCCCTATTCTCTCTCAAAAATCATCGAGAGGTCCAACAAAGAGCCGAACCCCCTCCTCTCACGCTGCGCAATATCCTCTCTGCCTACCATAGTGGCCTCTGCTCTCACCTAGCGCCGCTCACCATTGCCCCCCTCCACATCCTTATGGACTCTGCACCTGTCCCCCCTGCCCTGCCCACTTGTGCGCCTGTCCCCCCTGTCCGCCTCTGCGCCTATTCTCCAGCCCTCCTGGATTTGTGTTTGCCATCCGCATCGGCCTCTCGCCCCAGCGCTGGAGGGACTTCAAAGCCGAGATGGACGCTGCCTGGAAGGTGGGCCGGGTGGGCAGTCAGGGGATGGGTTGGGGCATGGAGGAGACGTGGTGGGGAATGGGAGTCGGCTAGAAAGCCAATTCATCCTGCTGAAAGGACTTCAAAGCCAGGATGGACGCCACCTGGCAAGTGGGCGGGGAGAAAGGGGGAGATGGGGGAGGTGTGAGAGTGGTGGTGGGGTATCATGGAGAGAAGGGAAGGAGGGTGAGTGGGCAGCGAGGGCGGGTGAAGGGGCAGGGAGGCGAAGTGGGGGAAGACTGGGTGTGGGGAAGGAGCGAGGGAAGGGCAGGCCGATGTCTGGGTGCAGCTGAATTCATTTAAGGGCGATCCAGGAATGTGTGTAGGGCTGGAGCATGTAAGCCTTCCATTCTCACCCTCTCAGACACAGACACTCACACTCGCAGACTCCACGTTATCATTCTCATACTCTGACTCCTCCGTTGTCCCCTGATCACTCACCACCCTTTCGCCCCCCCCATTCCCTCCCGGCCATTCTCCTCTTTTGTCCCCACCCAACCCCGCCCCACCCCCCAACCCATGCTTTGCTCAGTCACTCTGCACAGCAGTGGTGGAGGCACGGAGAGCGCAAGGGTCCGCCCAAGGATCAGGCACAGCCAGTGACTCCCACACGCAACACGCGCACAGGCAGAGGGTCCAGCGGGCCATTCTGGACCTCGCTTTCTTCTGGTGAGTGCGCAGTGGGAAGGCGAGAGGATACATGCGACGGGAGTGAGTGAGGGGTGAGGAGACGGGAATGGGGGATGGCCCAATGGCCAGACGCTCCAGCGGGCCATTCTGGACCTCGCCTTCGTCTGGTGAGTGCAGTGTGCACTGCACACAGGGGAGGGCGAACGAGTAGGGGGCCGGTGCAGTGGTGGTGGTAAGAGGGAACCACCAGGCACTACCTCTTTCCGTTTCTCTCCTGGGGCTCCTGCAACAATGGGGTTTACAGGGCTGATCTCTCCACTGCAACCTTTTTCTCCCCACACCCTCACTCCCCTCACACCCCCCTCTTACTCCCCTCACTCCCCCCCCCACCCCCACCCCTCCCCTCTCTCTCCCCTTTCTGGCGTCGCAGGTACCACCTGTCGCCTCTGTCGCGGGGGTCGGCCATGGTGGGGCTCATCTCCATGCTGGGCCTCTCCATGGCTGCCGGCATGGAGACCACCGCGCTCGTGCCCGAGGGCATGCAGGTGAGCTGCGGCATGCAGGTGAGCTGCGGCATGCAGGTGAGCTGCGGTATGCAGGTGAGCTGCGGCATGCAGGTGAGCTGCGGCATGCTCGGTGTTTGTGCGTGCGTGTGGGAGGGCGGGCGGGGTGCTGGAGTGCAGGCGTGCGTGCATGCAGGCATATGAGTGTGCGTGTGCTTGTGCGTGTGCTTGTGCGTGTGCTTGTGCGTGTGCTTGTGCGTATGCATGTGCGTGCGCCTATGCGTGTGCGTGTGTGTGTTCGTAAGCCTGTGCGTGTGCGTGTGCTTGTGCATGCGTGGGTGCCTGAAAAGCACGCCCTTACATGCAAGCACATCCACGTATGATTGTGTCTGCAAGATGGTGTGTGTGTGTGTGAGTGCATGCACAAGTTGGTGCATGTGTCAGGGAACAGAGCATGGTGCACACTAAGGAACCTGCTTATTGGCACACACACACATGTGCACACACGCACATGGGCACACACGCACATGTGCACACACGCACATGTGCACACACGCATATGTGCACACACTCACATGGGCACACACGCACATGTGCACACAATCAGCTGCAAGTGCCAGAGTGAGTATTTCGCCATGCCACCGGCTCACAGCACCCTTCAACCTCACCTCTACCTTCTCCCTTGCCTCCCTTCCTACCCTCCCTTCTGACTTGTCCTTTTCTCCTCTCAGGTGGATTGCGGGCCAATGCTGATCCCTGAATCAGCCACTTTCTTTTGATTCGACTCAAAAGTAGACTCCCTCCCTCCCCTCCACCATTCCGTCCGACCTCCCCTCGTCTCCCATCAGGTGGACTGGGAGGCCATGCTGGTGCCGGACTCAGCTGCTTTCAACGCCACCATCGCTCCCTGGCTATTCTCCTCCGTACAGCAGCCTTCCTGGGACCTACCCAATGTGCACGATGCCCTTCCCACCACCCAACATGTGCTTGCAGCCCTCAATATGTAGCTACAGACTGTATTAAAGTAGAGTGCATGGACGAATGACACAAGTCCCGGTAGGTACCTAGGTGTTGGAAATGTCAAGATTATATAAGTTATATATAATTGATAGGCTTGATAGTTGTGCTATTGCATCCTACTGTAGAGGGGATAACTCCCCTTCTTGTACCTCATTCTCTTCTAGTTCAACAACCCTTCTCTCTCGACATTCTCTTCCAGCTCCTAGATCTACTTTCCTCCTGCCATTCCATGGCGACTTTCCTAGCCTCCTAGTTTCCTATCTTAAGTAGCTAGTGTCCTAAGTTCTTCTGAGCGTTTCTGAAGTGTAACACCACACTCGAGAAAGATCGTAACGGGTACACGAGTCAACGGAGGTTACACGAGGGGATGGACAAAGAACACGAAAGGACTTGAAGAGTCGCAACCGGAGGTTGCGACTGACCGTTACAACTGCAAGGATGGTAACCGAAGCGACAATCGAGTCGCTGTGCGACTCGATAACCGCTCTTCAACTGTATTCTACAAACTGCTTTACTTTCCTAGTTTCTATATATTTCTGTATGCTTGTTCTTTTAATCAATCACTTGTTCTCACATACTAGTACAAGGGTGTTAACTTATACATATTATCTATGTAGAAGTTATAGGCTAGACTGAGGTATGCTTCTAGTGAGTACAACCAACTAGTATTTGTTCTAGGTTTCCACCTCTAGTAATCATTCGTTCTCACTTTGACATGGTATCACGCGTAGGTTAGCATCCCCCACCTACCGCTTCCGCCCGTACCCCGCTCGGCCTCGTCGCGCCCTGCCTGGCTCCGTCGCGCCCTGCCTGGCTCCGTCGCGCCCGCCTGGCCCCGTCGCGCCCTGCCTGGCTCCGTCGCGCCCGCCTGGCCCCGTCGCGCCCTGCCTGGCCCCGTCGCGCCTGCCTGGCCCCGCCGCACCTGCCTGGCCCCGCCGCGCCTGCGTGGCCCCGCAGCGCCTCCCTGGCCCTGCCGCGCCTGCCTGGCCCCTGCCGCGCCTGCCTGGCCCCGCCGCGCCTGCCTGGCCCCGCCGCGCCTGCCTGGCCCTGCCGCGCCTGCCTGGCCCCGCCGCGCCTGCCTCGCCCCGCCAGCACCTGCCTGGCCCCACCGCACCTGCCTGGCCCCTTCGCCCCGGCTCGTCCTGCCGTGCCGCCTTGGGCTCCATCTCCTCTGCTCGCCTGTGCTGAGGCGATTCGCGGCCGCCGTGCTGGAGGGGGCTGTCGCTGTGTTCCTGCGTCGCTGTGTTCCTGTGGAGCTGTGCCGCTGACCCTGCACGATGGCGGACCTCGTGCTCCGACTGGACGCGGAGGGCCATGCGGTTGACTTCGCCGCCTGGCTCTCCGATCTCCGCCGCCACCTTACAGGTCAGCGTCAGGATGGCCACTCTTTGGTTGTCCATGTCGACGGCTTGCTCCCCCGTCCCCCCGCACCTGCTCCCCTCCCTGTTGATCCCTCCTCTGATGACCGTGAGACCTTCTCTACTGCTGCGCTTGCCCGTGCGGTCTGGGACTCCCGCGATGCAGTCGCTCAGGTTGCCATTAGCCACGCCCTCCCTGTCTCTGAGCGCTCGCGTTTTGCTACTATTGAGATGGCCAAAGCTTACTTAGACGCTGTTATTGCCCGCTATTCCACACCCGCGTCTGCTTCTGCTGGTCGCCTGCTCTTCCCTATGCTTTTCCCAGACCTTGCTGCTTTCCCTACCGTCGCAGACTTTGCCACTCACCTGCGTGCCCTAGAGACCCGCTATCGCACTGCCAGCACTGCCGCCCAGCTCACTGCGCTCCCCCCCCCCTTTCTGCATGACGCTCTATTTTATCGCCATGCGCCTGCCAGACCGCCTCGCTAGTGCTCGCGATCACGTTCTTAGCCAGCACCCGGGTGACCTCACTCTCACTGCCTTTGTCGACACCCTTACCGAGATCGAGACTCGCCAGCGCACTATCGCTCAGTCGAGCGGTGCGCCGGCAGTTTCTATCTTTCACGGTTGTGCCCCCTCCTTGTGTGCGTTCACTGACGTTTCGGCTGCGGTCGCCTCGGCGGCCCCTCTCACCGAGACGGCTAGTGCGGTCCACCCGCAGCAGCGCTCGCGCCGCGGTGGCCGTGGTCGCCAGGGGGGTAGGGGTGGTGGTGGCAGTAGTGGTGGTGACGATAGTCCGCCTGCGGGGACTACCACTGGTGGGCAGGAGCAGCAGCCCCAGCCGCAGCAGGAGCAGCCGCAGCCGCAGCCGCCGCCCCAGCAGCAGTTACCGTCCCAGCAGCAGTCGCCACAGCAGTGGGCCCGTCTCCCGCCTGGTTGGCCCGGCACCTCCGGAGGTAGTGGCCGTGGTGGCGGCCTGCGCAGCTTGGCGTCTACCGGCGGCTCCGGTGCTGTCACCTGCCAGTACCAGCTTCAGACCGGGCCTCTTCACGGCACTCTGTGCCGGCGCCCGCACCCGACCGCCCGCTGTTTCTGCCGCCTCGACGATCTCTTTCGTCGTCGCTTTGGCCCGGCCCCGGACCTCCCCGACTGGCACAGCCTGCTCCGCCAGGGCGTGCCGATCTTTGAGTTAGACATGGATCAGCTAGGTGCTGCTTTGCATGCTTTGTATTCTGACGCTTCTAGTTTTGCTGGATCTTATTACCCTGTGTACTCTAGTTTAGGTGTTGCACCACTGTGTAGCTTAGCCTCCCCTGCTGCGTCAGGCGTAGGACTGCCTAGGTTGCCTAGTCTAGTCGCTGCACCGGCTCCGTCCCCGGCCTCCGCCACTGCGTCGCTGTCCTTCACTCTCGACTCTGGTGCTTCTGCCTGCTTCTTCCGCGACCGTTCCACGCTCACGCTGCTTGCTGCACCTGCTGTTGTCTCTCTCGCTGACCCCTCTGCGGGTCCGGTCGTCGCGCGCAGTTCTACGTCCCTTCCCTGTCCGGCAATTCCCTCGGGCTCCCTTACTGGCCTCCACGTTCCCTCGTTCTCCAGGAACCTGGTTGGTGTCGGCTGTCTCCAGGACCTCGGCGTCACCACCACGTTCCCCGGGCACGAGCGGATCGCTGTCTGTTCTGAGGCTGTCTCAGGTTCCCCCCTTGCGACGTTCCCCCGGGACCCGGTGTCCGGTCTGTTTACCCTAGACACCGCTTCCCCCCCGGTTGGTGCGTCCTCCCAGGTCGCTGCAGCTTGCTCGTGTCGGTCCCTCACTCACCCCTCCCTTCTCTGGCACCACCGCTTAGGTCACCCTGCTCTCCCGCGTCTGCGTCACATGTCCCAGCACGGTCTTGTCTTAGGTCTCCCCGCGTCGCTCCCTGCCCTTCCTCCCTCGACTGCGCCACCGTGCACGCCTTGCGTCGAGGGTCGGCTTCGCCGTGCTCCTCACTCCTCCTCGCTGCGTCCTGCTACTGCCCCCTTTAGACCCTGCACTTGGACGTTTGGGGCCCTGCCCCCGTCCCCGGACCGCGCGGTGAGCGCTACTTCCTTGTGCTCGTCGACGACTACACGCGCTACACCACGGTGTTTCCCCTGGAGCGGAAGGCCGACGTGCCCGACGTTCTTCTCCCGTGGGTTGTGGCTGCGCGTCTCCACCGCGGTCTCCCCGTGTTGTGTCTCCACTCCGACCGTGGCGGCGAGTTCGCCTCTGGTCGGCTTGGACAGTTCTGTCGTGCGGAGGGCATCACCCAGTCGTACACGTTGCCGGACTCGCCACAGCAGAATGGGGTTGCTGAGCGCTGCATCGGCTTGGTCATGGAGGTCGCCCGTACCTCCATGATCCATGCCGATGCCCCCCATTTTCTGTGGCCGTTCGCTGTTCGCTACGCGGCTCACCAGCTTAACCTGTGGCCACGCTCCCAGCGGCCGCAGGTTTCGCCGACCCTCCTTTGGACCGGGTCCCCCGGTGACGCGTCTGCGTTCCATGTCTGGGGCTGCCTTGCTCACGTTCGTGCCTCTGGCACGGACAAGCTCACTGCCCGCACTGTCCCCTGTGTCTTCCTCGGTTTCCCCCTGGACTCGTCTGACTGGCTTTTCTACCACCCGCCGTCTCACTGCTTCCTCCACTCTCGTGACGTCACCTTTGACGAGTCCGTCTCCTTCTACCGCCGCTTCCCTCACCGAGGTCTCCCAGTTGCCCCCCCCCTTTTCCTTGCTCCCTCTCCCCCGGTAGCCCCTGCCCCTCTTCCGCCTCGTCCTGCCCCGTCTGGTGTCTCCCACGTCACTCCCCTCCCGTCGGTTGTCCCCGTTGAGGAGTCTGCTGACTCTGGTGGTACCCCCGGTCCGTCCTTGCCGCGTCCCCCTTCCCCGGTGCCTCCGCCCCCACTGTCGCAGTCGCCGACCCGCTGCCGCCGCCGTCGCCGTCGCCGCTGTCATCGCCGCCGCCGCCGCTGTCGCTGCCGCAGCCGTCGCCGCTGTCGCCGCCGCCGCAGCCGTTGCCGCCACTGCCGCCGCTGCTCTCGGCTCCTAGGGGTGCTGGTGTGGAGGAGGGTGTTCGTCCTGCGGCTTCTTGGGGTGCCGCTGGTGTTGGAGGGGGTTCTCGCTCTGGGGGTGTTGGTTCTGGGGGTGCTGCTGTTGAGTGTTCTGCCGACGGTCGTTCTGCCTCTGCTGGTCCGAGAGTTCCGGCCCAGCCGTCGTCGCCGCCGCAGCAGCCGTCGCCGCCGGTTTCCGCTCTCCGCCTGCTCGGCCTTCCCTCCCAGGACCGCGCGCCGGTGTCTCCCCCACCGCCTCCTGACCTTCCTGTCTACGGTCCTGTGTTCCCGCCGCCAGACTCGTCTTCGGCCCGTCTTCCTCCTCGTTCCCCTCCTGTGTCTCCTCCGCTGTCCCCTGACCCTACCCCTCCGTCTCACGTTTGGGCTCGCCGTCCCTCCCGTGCTCGTCCCGTCTCTCCTGTCCTGCCCACCCACCCTATGTTGCTCCGTTCCCACTCGTCTCGTCCTCCACTCCTCCCGTCCCCTCCTCCCTCGTCCCTTGCTGTTGCACCTCCTCCGTTCTCTGACTACCTCCGTGCTGCTCGTCCCCTTGTCCCTCGGGTCCTTGCCTCTCTTGTTACCGACCCTGCTGTTCCTGTCTCGCGCCTTGACGCGCTTGTCGCTGCTGTCGCTGACTTCGCTTCTACCCGCCGCCTTGACTACGCTACCGCTCTGGTCTCTGACCCTGCCCGTCCTCTGTCCGTCGCGGGTGCTCCTGCCCTTGGCAGTGACGTCCTAGACGACAGGCAGTACGAGCTGGCTTTCCTTTCCGAGGCTGCTCCCCATCTCTGCTCCATGCTGTTAGTCCCTGAGGGTGACCCAGACGCCTTCGACATCCCGACCCCTCGCACCTACGCTGAGGCCACCTCGGGACCTTGGGCCTCTCAGTGGATAGTTGCCATGGAGCAGGAGATGGCATCTTGGAGATCCACCGGCACTTACGTCGACGCAGTTCCCCCGCCTGGGGTGAACGTAGTCGATGGTCGGTGGCTCTTCAAGGTGAAGCGCCCCCCTGGAGAGCCGCCTGTCTTCAAGGCGCGCTACGTGGCCAGAGGTTTCAGTCAGCGCGAGGGGGTTGACTTCTTCCAGACCTTCGCCCCGACCCCGAAGATGACCACTCTTCGGGCGCTGCTACACGTAGCAGCACAGCGTGACTACGAGCTTCACTCCCTCGACTTCTCTACTGCCTTTCTTCAGGGCAGCCTACACGAGCAGGTCTACCTGCGCCGACCACAGGGCTTCACTGGTACCTTCCCTCCTGGGACCTAGTGGCTTCTCAGGCGCCCGGTCTACGGCCAGCGTCAGGCTCCCCGCGAGTGGCACGACACGCTACGTGCCACGTTAGCAGACCTGCAGTTCTTTCCGTCCTCTGCTGACCCTTCACTGTTTGTGCGTTCCGGCCAGACTCCGTTCTAGATCCTTGTCTACGTAGACGACCTGGTCTTCGCTACTCCTGACAGGGACGCACTGGCCTCTGTGAAGGCCGAGCTGCTGAAGAGACACACCTGCACTGACCTTGGAGAGCTGCGTCGCTATCTTGGCCTGCAGATCTCTAGGGACAGAGCAGCACGCACCATCACTCTGACCCAGTCACACTTGGTGCGTCAGGTCCTTCAGAGGTTCGGTCTTCAGTTCTCCTCCGCACAGCCCACACCTCTGCCCGTAGACCATGGGCTCTCTGCTCCCGTTCCTGAGGAGCCAGTAGAGCCCAGTGGCCCCTACGCAGAGCTGGTGGGTTGCCTCATGTACCTGATGACTTGCACTCGCCCAGATCTCGCATACCCTCTCAGCATCCTGGCTCGCTTTGTGGCTATAGGCAGACACCGACATCAGCACTGGTCTGCCGCTAAGAGGGTTTTGCGTTATCTTGCTAGTACATCAGGCATGGGGTTAGTGCTAGGAGGACGCAGGCCAGTGGTCCTTACTGGGCACACAGACGCTTCTTGGGCAGACGACGCTGAGACGCTCAGGTCGTCGCAGGGCTACTGTTTCAGCCTTGGTTCGGGTGCTATCTCTTGGAGATCCACTCGCTTGTCGTCTGTGGCTCAGTCTAGCTGTGAGGCTGAGATCTACGCTGGTGCCATGGCGGCACAGGAGCTCCGCTGGCTGACCTTCTTGCTCACAGACTTAGGTGAGCGGCCTAGCTTTGCCCCGGTCCTGTACGCTGACAACAGGGCCCTGATACTCCTGTGTCAGGAGCCTCGGCTTGAGGGCAGAGCGAAGCATATTCAGCTGCGGTACTTCCTCCTGCGCAAGCTACAGCAGCGCCGCCAGGCCCGCGTAGTTCACTTGGCCTCAGGTGCCAACACAGCTGATATCTTTACTAAGGCGCTTGCGCCTAAAGATCATCAGCGGCACTGTGTACAGCTTGGTCTTGTTCCTGTAGCTGCTCCCCTGTTAGGATCCTGATTGTGTACTCTCTATTATATATGCTTGTCAGACTGGCCTTGTGGCCTTACCTCCAGTGGCTGGACTAGTAGTGCCACCCTGGCTTGCTTCAGTTTTGGTTGTATTCTTGCTGACTGGTCTCCAGACCCCTGCCTCAGTGGTTGGACTAGTAGTGCCGCCCTGAGCTGTTTGCTTCTTGTTTAGTTTCACCCCTTGTCTAGCCTAGGGGGTGTGTCAGCTTATACATATTATCTATGTAGAAGTTATAGGCTAGACTGAGGTATGCTTCTAGTGAGTACAACCAACTAGTATTTGTTCTAGGTTTCCACCTCTAGTAATCATTCGTTCTCACTTTGACAAAGGGTTCAACTACTCAACTTCCGCTGCACTACTTAAGTCTCCTTTTACAACTGGGACTTAGTTCCTGGAAAGATCCTAAGGGCATTTATCAGCCCAACACTAGGTGCGTAGCTTTTGAATTTTCAGCCAAAATTTGCACGGCTTGACACACATGATAAAATAACAATTGCAATGAGAGTTTTGTAACAAGAACAATACGAAGCATTTGTGTTATTTCGATAAAATTTAACGATCATGGTTGACAAACAAGAATGTTACAGGTCTGATATTTTCGAGCCGTGGGCCACACGGGCTGTCAATTTGTGCAGGGAACGGCCAGGACCGCCTCCCGTCAAGAAGGAGCGAGATCAACTCGATCCAACCCCATCTCCCCGCCTGTTTCCCTGCGTCTCCTGCACTCCACTCGCCCCACCGTCTGTTCCTCTTGTTCGGCCACCCAGCGATGGCCGGCCACCAGCGGCGAACGGGGCTCGGGGCGTCGCTGCCTGATGGGATACTTCTTTATACCACCGCGTGTCGCGCGCTGTTCGTCGTTCTAGTAGCTCGCAGACAGTCGCGTGACATTGCATGGCAGCCAGGCTAGTCGTGACAACAGCACTTGTATCTCACGCTGCTTCATTCCACCTACCTGTTCTCGCTCGCTACTACGACTACTACCCGTTCCTGCTGATCCCAGACCGCTTCTGCTGATCCTAGACCGAGTGGTTCGATTAGTTGCTGGTACTTGCAGCGTGAGGAAATACGGTCCCGCGAGGAGTGAGTGCCGGTGATGAGTGGCGAACTTTTTACTGCGAGCCGAACCTCTCGGCGAGCATCCGCGGTGATTCGGCGACGTCAGCAATGCCTGCTTCTATCACCGCTCCCCGTCCTCCTCCCCGTCCTTCTCCTCTTGCTCCTCCTCCTTGCGCCGCCGTGCTGCCGTGCTCAAGTGTTCACATGCGGGGAAGTGGGCAATCCGTGCCCTAACGACGTCTGCTGCAGGTGCTGCTGCCCCCTCCATGCCCCCTCCATGCCCCCTCCATGCCCCCTCCATGCCTCCTCCATGCCCCCTCCATGCCCCCTCCATGCCTCCTCCATGCCTCCTCCATGCCCCCTCCATGCCCCCTCCATGCCCCCTCCATGCCTCCTCCATGCCCCCTCCATGCCCCCTCCATGCCCCCTCCATGCCCCCTCCATGCCCCCTCCATGCCCCCTCCATGCCCCCCTCCATGCCCCCTCCATGCCCCCTCCATGCCCCCTCCATGCCCCCTCCATGCCCCCTCCATGCCCCCTCCATGCCCCCTCCATGCCCCCTCCATGCCCCCTCCATGCCCCCTCCATGCCCCCTCCATGCCCCCTCCATGCCCCCTCCATGCCCCCTCCATGCCCCTCCATGCCCCCTCCATGCCCCCTCCATGCCCCCTCCATGCCCCTCCATGCCCCCTCCATGCCCCCTCCATGCCCCCTCCATGCCCCCTCCATGCCCCCTCCATGCCCCCTCCATGCCCCCTCCATGCCCCCTCCATGCCTCCTCCATGCCCCCTCCATGCCTCCTCCATGCCCCCTCCATGCCTCCTCCATGCCCCCTCCATGCCCCTCCATGCCCCCTCCATGCCCCCTCCATGCCCCCTCCATGCCCCCTCCATGCCCCCTCCATGCCCCCTCCATGCCTCCTCCATGCCCCCTCCATGCCCCCTCCATGCCCCTCCATGCCCCCTCCATGCCCCCTCCATGCCCCCTCCATGCCCCCTCCATGCCCCCTCCATGCCCCCTCCATGCCCCCTCCATGCCCCCTCCATGCCCCTCCATGCCCCTCCATGCCCCCTCCATGCCCCCTCCATGCCCCCTCCATGCCCCCTCCATGCCCCCTCCATGCCCCTCCATGCCCCCTCCATGCCCCCTCCATGCCCCCTCCATGCCCCCTCCATGCCCCCTCCATGCCTCCTCCATGCCCCCTCCATGCCCCCTCCATGCCCCCTCCATGCCCCCTCCATGCCCCTCCATGCCCCCTCCATGCCCCCTCCATGCCCCCTCCATGCCCCCTCCATGCCCCCTCCATGCCCCCTCCATGCCCCCCTCCATGCCCCCTTCATGCCCCCTCCATGCCCCCTCCATGCCCCCTCCATGCCCCCTCCATGCCCCCTCCATGCCCCCTCCATGCCCCCTCCATGCCCCCTCCATGCCCCCTCCATGCCTCCTCCATGCCCCCTCCATGCCTCCTCCATGCCCCCTCCATGCCCCCTCCATGCCCCTCCATGCCCCCTCCATGCCCCCTCCATGCCCCCTCCATGCCCCTCCATGCCCCCTCCATGCCCCCTCCATGCCCCAGTTCTCGTATGTGTCCCCTCTTCTTCCATGACCCTCTTCTTCCATTGACCCCTCTTCTTCCATTGACCCCTCTTCTTCCATTGACCCCTCTTCTTCCATTGACCCCTCTTCCATTGACCCCTCTTCTTCCATTGACCCCTCTTCTTCCATTGACCCCTCTTCTTCCATTGACCCCTCTTCCATTGACCCCTCTTCCATTGACCCCTCTCCGTGCCACCTGCTTCCTTTGAAGGCCGTATGACGCCGTCATCTGGGAGTGTGGCCCTCCCTACTGCGGCGCAGGCTGTGCCACGGGTCCGTGCTCAGGTGAGAGAGGCGGAATCCGTGGTGCGTCGTCACGCAATACCATGCTTGCTCTGCATGTTTCGCAGTGCAAGATTCATCATGCGACCTGTACAGTGCAAGTTTCTTTGTTACCATGTTCTGTGTTCACGCTGTGTGGCTTCGTGTGCCTGCGTTTCTCATCACTAGGGTTGTGATTTATTGGTTCCTTCCACTCCCATCATCATCCCTCGTAATCCCTCCAAGCTGTCAGCTGTGCCCTCGACCGTCACTAACCCAGTCCAGTGTTTGCCGACTAATCCCATCCCATCCCTCGCCATCCCCTCCTCTCTTCTCCCATCCGCCCCTCATGTGCGCACGTGGTCTAAACAACTGCTGGCCCTTCAGCCCAGAGCCCTAGCTCGTCCGTTGGCACACCACCATCGCCACCTCTGACAGATGCACCTCCTCCTACTCCTCCACCATCCTTCAACTCATCAACATCACCACCACCACCGCCACCACCATCTGTCAACCCATCACCACCTTTGAACTCGCCACAGCCACCACCATCCACCTCTCCATCTCCTGCCACCTCTCCGCTGCCCCCTTCCACGCCTTCTCCTCCTGCCCGGATCAGCAAGACAGCGGTGGCATTGGGCGCCACAGGGGGGGCAGTAGCAGCACTCCTGCTTGTTGCTCTTCTATACTTCGGCTGGCGCCGGTACAAGAACAGGCAGAAGCAGGTGGTGTTTCACGAGCCTGCAGGTGGTGCAGCAGAAGCGGGGGAAGCAGGTTTCAGTTTGAACAAGAGCAAGGGGGCGAAGGTGGTGGCGGTGTGTCGGGAGTTCCCACTGAAGCAGTTAGAGAAGGCCACCGGCAATTGGGCGGAGGAGAATCTGATCGGCAGTGGGGCGTTTGGCGATGTGTACCGGGGGGTGAGCGCGCAGGACGGGGAGGTGTGGGCGGTGAAGCGCGCGAAGCTGCTGTCCAACGACTTCCACACGGAGGTGGCAGCCATGGCGTCCAAGCACCACTCGCACCTGGTGCGCCTGCTGGGCTTGTGCGTGTGCTACGGCTCCTCCAACAGCCGCATGGAGCAGATCCTCGTCTACGAGTTCATGCCCCACGGGGACCTCGACAGGTGGATCGACAAAGGTGCGTGCTGGCAGGCTGGGGGGGACATGGGGACATGGGGAATGAGCATGTGACAAGGGGCATGTGGCATTGGGCGTGGGCATGTTTCATGCACAGGATTTAAGTCTGGTTGACATGTCTCACAGTATTTATGGACGTTCTTTACTTACAGAAACTGACTTTCCATCGTTCCACTTATTCTTCCCATATTTGTCCTTCCGCCAGACGCCCCTCGTCCCCTGAGCATGCGCGAGCGCATGAGCATACTGATGGGGGTGGGTGCGGGCTTGCAGTACCTGCACTCATTCAACATGGTGCATCGCGACATCAAGCCCGCCAACATTCTCCTGGACGCCAACATGCAAGCCAAGGTGGCGGACTTTGGCCTCGTGCGGTGCGGCGAGGGCACCACGGTCATGGCAACGCGCGTCATGGGGTCACCGGGCTACATGGACCCTGCCTATGTCAGATCGCAGAAGGCCACTCCCGCTGTTGATGTGTACAGGTACACTCGCCATGCCCATGGACGCTGCAAATATTTTGCTAGAAGGGCTTGTGTACTAAACTTGTTAGGTGCCACTACCCCTTCCCAGTTCAAGCCTGTAGTCATTCCACAAAAGTACTGTTGTAACCCCCGCCTTCTCTTATCGCATTTCCTCGCCCTCACACTGTGGCTGCCCATTTCTCTCCGTGTGCGCAGCTTCGGCGTGGTGATGCTGGCGGTGATCACGGGGAGGAAGGCAACGGAGGTCGAGGAGGGCAAGGAGGAGAGTCCGTTCAACCTGAAGCTGTGGGTGGCAGAGCTGGTGGAGCTGGGCAACGTGGCGGCGTTCAGGGACCCCACCCTGGATGGCCCATCGGACGACCTCCTCCTCGCATTGGCGCACCTCGCCCTCTCCTGCACCAACATGCGCACCGCTGCTCGGCCCACCATGGTCCAGGTGCTCGCACAGCTGCAGGCGCTCAAAGACCGGTACCTGGTCACCGCACCAAACAGGATGGCCCTGAGAATCGACGAGGATGTGGAAACTGGCATGGTGGATTCAGATCTGGATGCGGTGTTGGCTCAAGTGGAGAATATGAACCAATCAGCTTCGTGGTTGCAAATAAAATAGAGTTCATATGGTATGGATCACCCGGATATAGGCGCAGCCATTTATTAAGCCCAGTTGGCTTATATCCGTTATTTCATTATAAGCGCACCTTTGTTTTAGAAAATCTATTCCCTATAAGCGCATTGAATTGCGGAAACTTCCATATCGAAAACTCTGCCATATCTCCCGCAGCACTCTCGCACCCCTCCCAAGCACCTTGCCAGCTAGATTCCTGCGTTTCCCGATCACTGTTGCCTATGATTGGTCCCTAACCTGCCTTCCCAGCGTAGTAGTTGTGCTGGCGAAAATTTCGCCAGATATTTCGCGCGATATTTCTGCGCGTCCTCTTTTGAAGACAGTTGTGTTGGAACCAAAATAAACCCAGCTACATTTTGGTGTGTTCAAATCATAGTCCTTCGTATTAGCACATGGGCTTATATTTTTAATTCGATTACAAGCGCAAGCTGGTTTTTGAACCTAATCCCTATAAGCACATATGCACCTATATCCGGGGGACTACGGTAAATGTTTCTCTGGATTGTAGATGCCCTTTATGTTGCTTGCTGTGAATCGAATATATCTAATACTATGAGAGCGCGAGGGGGGTTGCCTTTCCTAAGCGCGCCGAGCCCGGGAAAAAAGGGGGGAAATAGGCGAAATTTGACATCTAGCCAGGCGAAAACATTTGGGGGCTTCATATCGTATTCTGAAGTTGGGCCGACGAGCAAAGTTTTCCCATCGGTTCCAAGTTTTCCCATGCGATTCGGGTTTGGACCATAACGGTGGGAAAACCGTGGTGGAAACCAGTGTCAAATATATGTATAACTCATATTTGTATAGACTGTATAGAGTCACCTCTTAGAGGGTACAACACTCTTAGGTATATACCCTTGTTCTCTCCCTCTATACTATTCATTCAGTTTTCTTCTCGACATGGTATCACCCGTAGGTTCGACCCCCCCCCCCCCACCTACCGCTTCCGCCCGTTCCTCCTAGGCCCCGTCGCGCTTTCACCTAAGCCCCGTCGCGCCGCCCCCACCTAGGCCTCGTCGCGCCCCTCCTGGGCCCCTATTGCGCCTCCTAGCCCGTCGCGCCCCTCCTGGGCCCCACTCGCGCCTCCTAGCCCGTCGCGCCCCTCCTGGGCCCCTGGCGCGCCACCTAGCCCGTCACGCCCCTCCTGGGCCCCTCTCGCGCCTCCTAGCCCGTCACGCCCCTCCTGGGCCCCTGTCGCACCTCCTAGCCCGTCGCGCCCCTCCTGGGCCCCTCGTGCCTCCTAGCACCTGCCGCACCTGCCTGGCCCCGTCGCGCCTGCCTGGCCCCGCCGCGCCTGCCTGGCCCCACCGCGCCTGCCCGGCCCTGCCGCGCCTCCTGGCCCCGCCGCCCCTGACTGGCCCGCCGCACGTGCCAGGCCCTGCCGCGCCTGCCTGGCCCCGCCGCACCTGCCTGGCCCCGCCGCGCCTTCTGGCCCCGCCGCGCCTGCCTGGCCCTACCGCGCCTCCTGGCCCCGCCGCCCCTGACTGGCCCGCCGCGCCTGCCTGGCCCTGCCGCGCCTGCCTGGCCCCGCTGCACCTACCTGGCCCCGCCGCGCCTTCTGGCCCCGCCGCACTGCCTAGCCCCGCCGCACCTGCCTGGCCTCGCCGCGCCTTCTGGCCTCGCCGCGCCTGCCTGGCCCCGCCGCACTGCCTGGCCCAGCCGCGCCTGCCTGGCCCTGCCGCGCCTACCTGGCCCCGCCGCACCTGCCTGGCCCCGCCGCGCCTTCTGGCCCCGCCGTGCCTCCTGGCCCCGCCGCCCCTGACTGGCCCGCCGCGCCTGCCTGGCCCTGCCGTGCCTGCCTGGCCCCACCGTACCTGCCTGGCCCTTTCGTCCCGGCTCGTCCTGCTGTGCCGCCTCGGGCTCCGTCTCCTCCGCTCGCCCGTGCTGAGGCGCTTCGTGGCCACTGTGCTGGAGGGGGCTGTAGCTGTGTTCCTGTGGAGCTGTGCCGCTGACCCTGCACGATGGCAGACTTCGTGCTCCGACTGGACGCCGAGGGCCATGCGGTTGACTTCGCCGCCTGGCTCTCCGATCTCCACCGCTACCTCACAGGTCAGCGTCAGGATGGCCACTCTTTGGTTGTCCATGTGGACGGCTTGCTCCCCCGCCCCCCTGTACCTGCCCCCCTCCCTGCTGATCCCTCCTCTGATGACCGTGAGACCTTCTCTACTGCTGCGCTTGCCCGTGCGGTCTGGGACTCCCGCGATGCAGTCGCTCAGGTAGCCATTAGCCATGCCCTTTCTGTCTCTGAGCGCTCGCGTTTTGCTACTATTGAGACGGCCAAAGCTTACTTAGACGCTGTTATTGCCCGCTATTCCACACCCGCGTCTGCTTCTGCTGGTCGCCTGCTCTTCCCTATGCTTTTCCCAGACCTTGCAGCTTTCCCTACCGTCGCAGACTTTGCCACTCACCTGCGTGCTCTAGAGACCCGCTATCGCACTGCCAGCACTGCTGCCCAGCTCACTGCGCCCCCCCCCCCTTTCTGCATGACGCTCTATTTTATTGCCATGCGCCTGCCAGACCGCCTTGCTAGTGCTCGCGATCACTTCCTTAGCCTGCACCCGGCTGACCTCACTCTCACTGCCTTTGTCGACACCCTCACCGAGATCGAGACTCGCCAGCGCACTATCGCTCAGTCGAGCGGTGCGCCGGCAGTCTCTATCTTTCACGGCTGTGCCCCCTCCCAGTGCACGTTCACTGACGTTTCGGCTGCAGTCGCCACGGCGACCCCTCTCACCGAGACGGCTGCTGCGGTCCACCCGCAGCAGCGCTCGCGCCGCGGTGGCCGTGGTCGCCAGGGTGGTAGGGGTGGTGGTGCAGGTAGTGGTGCTGGTGGTCGTGAGAGTAGTCCGTCTGGGGGACTAGCATCGGTGATCAGGAGCAGCAGCCCCAGCCGCAGCAGGAGCAGCCCGCGCCGCAGCCGCCGTCCCAGCAGCAGCCGCCGTCCCAGCCGCAGCCCCCGCAGCAGTGGGCTCGCCTCCCGCCTGGTTGGCCCGGCACCTCAGGAGGTGGTGGCAGTGGTGGCGGCCCGCGCAGCTTGGCGTCTACCAGCGGCTCCGGTGCTGTCACCTGTCAGTACCAGCTTCAGACCGGGCCCCTTCGTGGCACTCTGTGCCCCCGCCCGCACCCGACTGCCCGCTGTTTCCGCCGCCTCGACGATCTGTTTCGTCGTCGCTTTGGCCCAGCCCCGGACCTCCCCGACTGGCACAGCCTGCTCCGCCAGGGCGTGCCGATCTTTGAGTTAGACATGGATCAGATAGGTGCTGCTTTGCATGCCATGTATTCTGACGCTGCTAGTGTTGCTGGATCTTATTATCCTGTGTTCTCTAGTTTAGGTGTTGCACCGTTGTGTAGCCTAGCCTCCCCTGCTGCGTCAGGCGTAGGACTGCCTAGTTTGTCTAGCCTCGTCTCTGCACCGGCTCTGTTCCCCGCCCCTGCCACTGCTGCGCTGTCCTTCACTCTCGACTCTGGTGCTTCTGCCTGCTTTTTCCGCGACCGTTCCGCACTTACGCCGCTTGCTACGCCAGCTGTCGTCTCTCTCGCCGACCCCTCAACGGGTCCTGTCGTCGCTCGCAGTTCTATGTCCCTTCCCTGTCCAGCCATTCCCTCGGGCTCCCTTACAGGTCTCCACGTTCCCTCATTCTCGAGGAACCTGGTTGGTGTCGGCTGTCTCCAGGACCTCGGCGTCACCACCACGTTCCCCGGGCACGAGCGGTTCGCTGTCTGTTCTGAGGCTGTCTCAGGTTCCCCCCTTGCGACGTTCCCCCGGGACCCGGTGTCCGGTCTGTTTACCCTACACACCGCTTCCCCCCCGGTTGGTGCGTCCTCCCAGGTCGCTGCAGCTTGCTCGTGTCGTTCCCTCACTCACCCGTCCCTTCTCTGGCACCACCGCTTAGGTCACCCTGCTCTCCCTCGTCTGCGTCACATGTCCCAGCATGGTCTTGTCTTAGGTCTCCCAGTGTCGCTCCCCGCCCTTCCTCCCTCGACTGCGCCACTGTGCACGCCTTGCGTCGAGGGCCGGCTCCGCCGTGCCCCTCACTCCTCCTCGCTGCGCCCTGCTACTGCCCCCCTGCAGACCCTGCACCTGGACGTTTGGGGCCCTGCCCCCGTCCCCGGACCGCGCGGTGAGCGCTACTTCCTTGTGCTCGTGGACGACTACATGCGCTACACCACGGTGTTTCCCCTGGAGCGGAAGGCCGACGTGCCCGACGTTCTTCTCCCGTGGGTTGTGGCTGCGCGTCTCCACCGCGGTCTCCCCGTGTTGTGTCTCCACTCCGACCATGGCGGCGAGTTCGCCTCTGGTCGGCTTGGACAGTTCTATCGTGCGGAGGGCATCACCCAGTCGTACACCTTGCCGGACTCGCCACAGCAGAATGGGGTTGCTGAGCGCCACATCGGCTTGGTCATGGAGGTCGCCCGCACCCCCATGATCCATGCCGATGCCCCCCATTTTCTGTGGCCGTTCGCTGTTCGCTACGCTGCTCACCAGCTTAACCTGTGGCCACGCTCCCAGCGGCTGCAGGTTTCGCCGACCCTTCTTTGGACCGGGTCCCCCTGTGACGCGTCTGCATTCCACGTCTGGGGCTGCCTTACTCACGTTCGTGCCTCTGGCACGGACAAGCTCACTGCCCGCACTGTCCCCTGTGTCTTCCTTGGTTTCCCCCTGGACTCGTCTGACTGGCTTTTCTATCACCCGCTGTCTCACCGCTTCCTCCACTCGCGTGACGTTGCCTTTGACGAGTCCGTCTCCTTTTACCGCCGCTTCCCTCACCGAGGTCTCCCAGTTGCCCCCCCCCTGTTCCTTGCTCCCTCTCCCCCGGTAGCCCCTGCCCCTCTCCCGCCTCGTCCTGCCCCGTCTGGTGTCTCTCACGTCACTCCCCTCCCGTCGGTTGTCCCCGTTGAGGAGTCTGCTGACTCTGGTGGTACCCCCGGTCTGCCCTTGCCGCGTCCCCCTTCCCCGGTGCCTCCGCCCCCACTGTCGCAGTCGCCGACCCCGCTGCAGCCGCCGTCGCCGTCGCCGTCGTCGCCGTCGCCGCCGCAG